TAAAATACAAATCTCTCTCACTGATTTCTCACTGTTTCTCTCTCGCTGGTTAGTCTCGCATGCTTGTTAATCACGTGACCCATCACAAAATATGTCAATGTTCGTCTTGGCTTCGTAAAGCTCCGTAATGAGCCCAGTTCGCTACAGAGGTATTCTCGCACAAACGTTACATATTTAGATACAAGCCAAGCAGACTTTGAATCTCCGGACATTCTATTGATTCTAAAACTGTTTATAGACATCGCATAGTGCTATTGTTTTTTTGAAATAGGTTAAATTATTGCATAATTCATCGTTTGTATTAAACACTATAGGTATAGTAAGGAGTGTATAAGGTGCAAAAATTGTTAGGGAATCTACAATACAGAATTATAGATAACTATATGCTTTTCCTATTTTGTCTGCACGCGAGTATAATGAAGTCAAAATAGTGCACATTATAATATACAGTATAATTCAATAGCCATTTATACCCTCGTCTTTTATACCTTGCCGATTGAATGCAAAGGAGTGACAGCAGATATAATGGAAAAATACTCTGCTGAACCTTATGCGGTATAAAGTGTCTCTACATTTTGTAAGGGTCAGGGATATATACATAATTCATCAGTCGCGCATAGACACAGTATTAAGTAGTACTCGATGAGTTTTTATAAGCATTTTAAAGTTTCTATTGATACTGTATATCGGTTGTTTGTATCTAGCATAGTTGGATGAAACTTCTAAAATACGATAAAGTTTATCGTATTTTAGAAGTTTCATCCAACTAAAAAGATTGAAGTTGATATAAATATTGATTAACACAGCAGCATGATACAGGTCGAAAGAAGCTGGATTATTCTGCTTATAAAAGGCCAATAGCAATGACAATAAAGGTCTTTATAACATTTATAATGTGCCTGCTGAAGATTGCTGCACGTAAAACTTGATATACTATAAAGTAAAATACTTGTGTCTGATGTTTATCTGTATCGTATTAAATATTCAAGTTGTACTTGTAATAAATTACATTTTTATCACCCAAAACTAGAACACATAAGTTGCAATTTTCCAAACACGACAAACCACTCCTCTACCACCCTACCCATAGACACATTTTATTTTACCACGCGGAATCTGCGTGGCACGTGACCAGCCCCAGCCAGGGTCTTTCCTCCACAAGGGGGAAGAGCCTGGGAACGAGGTTGTTTTTTTACTAGCTTAATACACATTTGGTTGGTTCATCATGCAGATTGAACGCATCTGATTGGTTAATGGTAGCGGTATATGATGTCACAATTCAGCTGAATATCTCTAATTTGGAAAAGGGCGACCTCTCATTTGTCTGCGGGAAATTGTGATGAAATTAACAGGCATGAGGCATAGAATGATAGAAAAGTAGTTGAAAGATTATATACGATTTTCTAGACCTAACCAGGAGCTGTTCCTGGTTAGACTTAAAATATTATATATCATCTTCCGCTCGAAATTTGCAAGTACAAAAACACTTCAACTGCATGTTATAGTTGTCTCGAGTGAGATGCCCGCAAATCTCAATATAGGAATATAGTCAAATTCCCGAATGTTTTCACACGAAAACAAGGCACTTTTTTCGCGCGAGTGGAAGATTCTACGGTTTTGCTAATGAGCATGACAGAAAGATAGAACAAAGACTTCCGTAGAATTTCCAGACCATATAACGTGTTATAGATCATAATTCTGATAATTGAAATTATTATTCCTAGATGAGGTTTAGACAGTATAGGTGTAATACTTTTGTTTTTGTTACAGGGATTTTATAGAAATGGACATTTTGATTTCAGCTTTAAGGTAATGTATAAGCATTGTATAAAATCCGCGAATGTTCCAGGCGATCAAAATAATTTATCGTGTCATCATAATTGTTCTTTAAACAGTGTCAAAATTCTAATTTGAAATCAGACAATTAAGGAGCAATCATACATAGATCCATGTCGTAACAACATCAAACGAATAATATTAAGTCCTCCCACACTAATGAGCAAGAATTCGTGGTTTATATATAATCCACCTAACATAATCTTGTTAATTCAAGCATTCGGCCACGTGCAGGTATCCTGCTTGGTTAAATTATTATTCCCCCGTTATTGGAGATTTTTCTCTGTGTGGTCATTCCAGCCATTGTGTATAATTTATAATTAGTTTATATCTTTAATAATAGCAAACTTGTAAAAAAATAACCACAACAGTGATCAAGTTAACCAGGACTGTGATAAAATTAACCTCGAGAAATTTTGCCAGGAATATTTAGTTACTCCAAACAGTGTTAATTTTGGATTAACCAGGAGATGTTTAACCAAGGTGTTTTTGAGTGTTTACCAGGGGTGGATCCAGCAAGGTTTTTCTAGGGGGGTGCTGGGTGAGCCGCCGAGTGTTTCTTTATAATTCTTTTGGGGGTGGTGGAGAGCCGAGAGCATTCAAATGAATTGTCTTCCTAACTGCTCGAGCACCGAAGGCGCGAGCTCCCTAGGGGTCCGGGGGTATGCTCACAGAAAATTTTGAAAATTAGAACCCTAGAAATGCCATTTGCTGCGATATGGGCATTGAATTATGAGCTTCAGTTTCACTTCAAAAAAGGAAAAATCTTGGAAATTATGCCATATTTCTGAATTTGATTTTTTGCCCCCCCCCCCTTGCACCACTGTTGACCAAGGCCAACAGGGGTGCGCACCCCTGTGCACACCCCCCCCCTATACATGTAAATCCACCCCTGGTGAAAACAGTATGATACACATAAAATCGTGTGCATTTAACGCTGTATGTTCATCAGAAAATGACTCGTTTCCAAACTTTGAGTTATTTATTAAACTATTAATTTCCTCTCTCCGTGCATGTTCGAGACGTTTTTATAAACACTCCATCTTTTCTTGTAAATTTCACAGGTTGGACAAGGTTATCCTCATGATGCTCCAAAAGTAAAATGTGAAACAAAGGTATTTTTCATTTCGTCTGCGTACAGTATATACCTATATTTGCATTGAGATATGTTTAGAATCCCGGGGAAAATGTGGATTACCAGGGTGTTAACCGGAAGATAAAATGCTCGGCAGTTTACACCCGTTTTCAAAATGACGCGATCAGACCGAAGTTTTATGTCACGCGACGTAAAAAAGACATTTTATTCCGTATTTGACCGTATTTAGACCAAAATGAGCTAGATATACAAACTAAAAGAAACACCAGACCATCACAACAGCATCTAGGATAACTGAATTTAAAGTTCGAAAAAGAATAATTGAACCTCGAATTTAACTGTGTATTAAAACTCGCTAGATTATAGCGGTAATGACCGTAATGTTATGATTTTGTTGTGCTAAAATGTTGCAATAATTATCACTAAAATATCTTGAAAATCTTTATATAAAAAAATTTAGAAGGATTTTCAAGATATTTTAGTGATAATTATTGCATATATCAGGGTTTTGGGGCATCTCGCTCGATTGAACTGATGATGAAGGATTTTGTTGATGAAAATTTTGAGTGTGGATTTTATACATTAATTTAGACCTAACCAGGAGCAGTTACGAAAAATGCGACTATTGCCTCTCTGCAGGAATTGAACCTGCGGCCCTGCGAGACATATAATACGAGAGTATTGGAGCTCGACAACTGTCTCTCTGTAGATCAGTTGGTTAGAGCTCGACAACTGTCTCTCTGTAGATCAGTTGGTTAGAGCTCGACAACTGTCTCTCTGTAGATCAGCTGGTTGGAGCTCGACAACTGTCTCTCTGTAGATCAGTTGGTTAGAGCTCGACAACTGTCTCTCTGTAGATCAGTTGGTTAGAGCTCGACAACTGTCTCTCTGTAGTTCAGTTGGTTAGAGCTCGAAAACTGTCTCTCTGTAGATCAGTTGGTTAGAGCTCGACAACTGTCTCTCTGTAGATCAGTTGGTTAGAGCTCGACAACTGTCTCTCTGTAGATCAGTTGGTTAGAGCTCGACAACTGTCTCTCTGTAGATCAGTTGGTTAGAGCTCGACAACTGTCTCTCTGTAGATCAGTTGGTTAGAGCTTGACAACTGTCTCTCTGTAGATCAGTTGGTTAGAGCTTGACAACTGTCTCTCTGTAGATCAGTTGGTTAGAGCTCGACAACTGTCTCTCTGTAGATCAGTTGGTTAGAGCTTGACAACTGTCTCTCTGTAGATCAGTTGGTTAGAGCGATGCACCGGAATTGCTGCAACTGTCTCTCTGTAGATCAGTTGGTTAGAGCGATGCACCGGAATTGCTGGGCTGCAGGTGCGATTCTTGCCATAGGGCGAATAGTTTTCGCAACTGGTCCCGGTTAGGTCTAATAAATGTATAAAATTCACACTCGAGATTCCCTTCTACAAAGTATATATACAACGATAACGGTAACTTCATGACCGTGTTACAGAAAACTGACATGTACAAACCAAAATCCATACATTAGTTTTGGCTATTTTCGGCCTGGTCGGGTAATTTTGAAAACGGGTGTAACGAAGTTGGGAAATTCAGTTAGCTTGCGATGTTCACACCAGAGTTAAGAAGTATCCCCTATTATACCGTACGAGACATGTCTGAAATCTACATATGGTCTGAATGTCGCGTCTCTTAAGTGGCATTCTCGTGGCCTAGTATGCACTGATTGCCTGAGATATGTTGGGCGCTGATTGGCTGAGTTATGTTCATTGAAACGTTTGAAGTGAAAACCGCGGTCAAACGTCCGTATATTGACTCCATCACAGTACTTGAAAGACTGGAATAGTATTGTCTTCAAGATAGTACTGTGCCTCGGAGGGGCGGAGCTGCGGTGTTTTTTGGTCAGCCGAAGCCAGTTTCACCCAGCTCTGGCTGGAAAGTCAGTATGACAAGAAATGTGACAATTTCGAAGATTATGTTAGGCTCCCGTCCCCCAAACGCTCAGTTTTCAACTCGCTCCGTTTAGAAGCCGTGGTCGTATTGTTACGGCAAAAGTGACTCAAACAATCTCGGTTTGATACGCGACGGCTACTTAATTGTGACTTTTCTGTGCCGTTTTCAAACCGCTCCGGCGTAACGTGAACGTAGTCTAATAGACCTTAAAGTCTGCCTTGTGACGTAGTTTGCGGATAAATACGATCATTTGGCCAATCAGGCAAGCCAAATGGCTGTGCGGGGTTTTCTTTTATGCGCAAACTACGTCACAAGGCAGTTTTTTAAAAAGCTCTATTGTATGCATGCAAGACTACAGACTAGTGCCCGTCAACGGGCGCACTCTAAAACATAATCAAAGCTTGCTGAGCACCTCCACCCTACCAGATCTTGTCTTGGATCTATTCCAGTGTTTTTGTTTCTTTTATTTAGGTTTATCATCCCAATATTGATCTTGAAGGAAACATTTGCTTAAACATTTTGAGGTATCTTTGTTCTCTAGTAATGTATTGTAGCAACTCACTTTTAGAATAGCATTCACTAGAAAATCTGCACCCTCTTCCAGACTGACCTGCATGCAGGTTCTGCCTGATAAAATTCGAACATCGTTAGGTGTATCCATTTTCTGGATAAACATGTTCCCACTTCATACAGCCAAAGGGAGGTGCATGGGCGGGTGGCATTTTGCCCCCGCACCACCAGCTTAAAGAGGCTCCCAAAGCGATGAAGACCGTTAAAATTTCTTGATGGAAGATTGCTGAACGGATAATATACATGCAGTAAATCCGTGCTGGCGAGTCTCGTGCGAAAAAGCAGTTTTGTAGGCAACAAGGCTACAATTCACGGAAAAAGTTGTTGGTCAACTTTTCAGACAGTTTTAATCAATTCTCAACAGCATTTCATACAAAGGAATATTAGGAAATCTCTTTGCAGGTCAATATAGAAATTTGCGTGTCAAAACTATAGCATTATTAAGAACTTTATTAGCATGACCTTAACTAATTACAGGTATTGCTAAAGTATATTACATAGTAAAGATTATAAGAGTAACAATTAATAACATAAACAAATTATGACTACGGAGTAGTTCATATACCTAATAGTTTGTTTTCGTGAATAGATAATTGAGTAACACCACATGCTATGGGCTTTGTATCTTAAGGCATTTGTCTCTGACCTTAAAACATTTTGCAATAAAATTTGAAAATAGATTTGTTAATACTGGGTCTGTGTTTGAAATTATATGTGTCAACAAATCAGCATAGCCTACAATTTTTGAAAATAATCAGAAAAAATGTTTAATTTGCATCCTGTGCAGTAAAGCGTAATGTATTTTAAAACACCGCTTCTTCTGTTCTGTTTTACAATTTTGACGTCAGAAGGGCCCCTGGGGAAGGTTTGCCCGGAACCCCTCCCTGCATACAGCAAGGCTGAAGTCTTGATCTCGCGGTATTCCGCGTTTGTATAGCAGGAGAAAAATGTGGTTTGTCTCAATTTATAGCAACAGTATACGTATTGAAGATCACTTTGTCAATTTTGCACTTGAGTTGCTGTTCGCTTGCTTAATATTTTGTTTTGCTGCACCAATTTTAACTTTGCAACACGGAAGATTGTCACCAGTAATAATGCATAACATATACAAATAGTGAATGACTTGTTTAGTATAGGTAATAGCATGGTAATTTGTAAGGAAACAGGAACATTTTACAAACACTTGGGGCCGGTCGTAGCCTACGAAGGTCGGATATAGCGCTATCCACCGGACAGTGATTCTTTCAACCTTTGTAAAATGCTTGAAAAACTGTGAAACTACGGATATAGACGACACAAGAAGTATATAAAAACATTTAGCTTATAAATACTAAACTTTATGTATAGGTAATAGCATGGTTTCGAGTGCAATTTGGATATAACATGCACTCGTGAGTTTTTCAATGACCGCAGGAAGTTTCCTATCCAGTTATTTTACAATCCATGATTACAGTAACGCATGCGGCAAAAATAGTACAGCCAATCATCAATTCCCCTCCGCTGGTGGACGGGAATTTCAAATACATAGCCAAACTCAACAGACGGTCTGTCGCCCCCTTCTCCTCGCCCGCGTTTTGGGTGTCCCGCGGCGGACTGAGTATCTGCCACGCGGGCTGGGTTATCACAAACTCGTCAGTTTGTTTTCTCCGCCAGTTTCTTACATATCAAACACATTTATTCTACTTGCGTTTCAGGGAAGACTGGAAGCCAGTGTTAACGATTAACTCCATCATTTATGGTCTCCAATATCTCTTTTTGGTACAGTAATATACTGCATTTTAATATAGAAACAAGCAATTATATTCAAATCTGCGTGCGATAATTTGCGTGCTTACGTACCAGAGTTACCCAAATATTAGACCTGGGACTATCGGTGGATCCTGGGAACATCGTTCCAAGAAAATGTTTTGGTTTCCAAGAAAGAATTTTCAATTTTGTTTTGCTGAAAGTTTTGGACTGTTACCAATAGGATATGCAAAGAAACTAAACCATAGGAATTACGTCAATGTATTTGACTTAAAAAAATACAATTATATATGCGTACACCCTGGTCGAAAGCTAAATCACAAAAGATTATCCTGTTCAATCAATCATTTCAATGGATTTTGTTAACTGTAATGCACAGCTAATGCCTAACAGCTATATTAACGAATGTTTAAGTCCTGTTAAATGTAATTTGAGCACCATGTTTCAAACAAATTATTTGCCGTACGAGGATCCATGAAAGGCCTGAACTACAGTGGAACCCCGTTAATACGGTCACCAGCGGGCCGAAATAATATGGCCGTATTAGCGCAGTGGCCGTATTAACGGGGTGAGATCAAATTTCAATTGTGACGTCATTAAAGCTATGTTTATTCGAAAATCACAATAACACCATACTCCACCATAATACCAATTCATAACTAAACATTATAAAGTTCAGATAAAGTTTTCACTAATTTTAAAGAAACAATGTTAGGGATTACAACGTCGCTAAAAAACATTGTATTCTTTCTTTTCCTTTGCGCGACTGATAATAAAAATGATGCAACTTGAATTGTGTGTTTCACTGCACAAGGTGTCTTAAATTAAACTGCATTTCCGTCCGTAAACACATTTATTTTTTTGAGTGACCGGGTGATTTCTTTAGTTCGCCCGCTTCGGGACTCTACAATATGGCCGTTGGCCGTATTAACGGGGTGGCCGTATTAACCGGGTAACTTTATTATAAAATGTATTAGTGTTTCGCCGGGACAAAATAAAGTGACCGTTTAGTGTTTCGCCGGGACAAAATAAAGTGACCGTATTATCGAGGTGACCGTATTAACGGGGTGGCCGTAAGGCGGGGTTCCACTGTATTTCCAGGTCTGCTAAATGTTTAGTAACTATGCCTTCGTTTTCAGTCAAGTACCACATATAGGTACGCAGTACTTTCGCTTTCTGCGCATTGACATTTTGTTAGTGTGATATAACCAGCCAGCTTTTCCGAGTTATTCAAACCGTAGTTGACAGATTTAGCTTGCATGACAATTAGTTGCAAATTAGCAGTTCAAGTCAGGTGTCATAACAGATTTCTTGTTTAGCTATAGTGTGCAAACAGCCTGTAATGGCTGCGATATTGAATGACCAATTTACATCTAATTGTCATGTATGCAAGCCAAATTTGTCTATTAGAGAGGTATGCGTGTAAATCCGACATATCTTGGGATCAAGTTGTACAGTATGTATTTGTATATGCAATTGCGCTCCTTTTGTTCTAACTCGTAGTTTTAGGTTACTGTATGACAATCTTTATTTACTGTATCTTAAGGATTAGTGTCACACCATGGCATCGCGGGCCTTTGTTATTGTTTTTATCTTATCCAAAATCAACAAATAGCGATAAAAATACTTTGTTTGAAGAAGAATCAGATGTAAGAAGTATGAACAAATGATCGTTTAATAGTACGGCTGATTACAAAAAACTTTTTCAGATCTATTGATCTACAGTAATTTGAACGCGAAATTCTATCATGGCGCTGTCCTAATCCTTTAAAGACTATCCTCATTACATGAAATGTTTTTTTAGATGGATATTTCGAGTGTAATTTTTATACATTTATTAGTCCTAACCAGGAGCAGATGCGAAAAATGCAATGGGCGACTCCATGCAGCTATAGACTAAATTTTGATCTAGGCAAGAAGAACAAAATCCATCACCACAGCTAGGAAGAGCATGTTAAAACTAGTAAAACTGCAAAGTTTGGTTGCGAAATGTTGTAAAATGTGGAAAATATAGCCCTGCGAAATTTGCAAACTTTGTATTAATTTGTATTACGCACGCGGGAAAATGCATCACATTTAGACCGAAAGTGGTCCAAGTTCCCGTGCGTAATACAAATCAATACAAAATTTTCAAATTTCGTAGGGCTATTATTTTCCACATTTTACAACATTTCGCAACCAAACTTTGCAGTTTTACTAGTTTTAACATGCTCTTCCTAGCTGTGGTGATGGATTTTGTTCTTCTTGCCTAGATCAAAATTTAGTCTATAGCTGGAATTGCCCATTGTATATAATTATGCACTCTGTAGCTCAGTAACTTAGAGCGCTGCACCAGAATCGCAGGACCGCGAGTTTGTTTCCTGCCAGAGTTGCACTTTTCCGCAACTACTCCTGGTTAGATCTAATAAATGCATAAAATTTACACTCGAAATTTTGGCTCGTCCTTGGCCGTATTAACTAAATTCCATTCAACTCGAAATTTCCATCTACAAAACCATTCTACAATTATGTTTGTGATGTTACTCTGAGTGTGCATCCACACCGGGCAAGCTGAAAAGTTAGTTGCGGGTTCGATTCCCACCGTGGCGAAGCTAACTTTTCAGCTTGCCCGGTGTTGATGCACACTCAGAGTAACATCACAAACATCATATTCACCTGAGTACATAACACCAACACACACAAAAAATAATCATTCTACAATTAGTTCTATCGAGTGAGAAGTCCTGATAGCCAAATTTGTCTGCTCGACGACAGTAATTCTACAATATGCTCACTTGCTTTGTTCTTTTTCACAGGAACCTAACCCAGATGATCCTCTTAATAAAGGTATAGTCAATAATGTGTTTTGATCATTGTTAGACCCGGATCGAGGCGAATCCCGTGAACTATTGCCCGAAGTGATGATATTTCCCGCGAGAGCAAAGCGCCAAGGGTAGTATTTCGAGGGTAATATTTCGCCGTATCCCCCGAGCGGTCTATGACTTGTATATTACACGAGCGGTCTATGACTAAGTGACATTAGTGACTTATAAATTAACTATTTGAGTATAATGTTTTATTTTTCTATTCACACGAGCTTTTGTCGCTTTTCTTTTAAATTATTCGCTGCATGAGGTGGAAAATGTTTTCTCCTTTCTGGAAATCTGGGTTTATGGCTCCGAATTTTCTGGAAAAGATTGCAATAAATAGGGAAAATAACAAAATTGTCATTTGTGGTGTTGTCGTGTGAAGCAATATATATGATTTATTACTGATAAACATATTGTGAGATAAATCCTATAAAGTAATCGTAGTTGTTAAGTCTTACATTATTAAAAAACAAATTTCCTACTGCAGGCTATATGAATATTTTTTATGAAACTATTCCACCTACTGTAATTTAGGTACAATCATTCCAGTAGTCAGGTAATTAGCAATTTCGATATTCAATCAGTCTAATTTTCAGAATTAGCTATCAAACATAAAAAATGTCCGTGAAAATTTCTGCAAAAACGTGGATCCTAAAACATTTCTAGGAACTGGGTTACCAGTTTCCGATACTTTTTCCGCTTCTAATTATTTGATTATTGCACTACATAATAATATTCGTGAAAAAAATCAGTACATTTTTTTCGAAATACAGTACCAAAAAGTGAATACAGTTACAGTGCAGACAAATGAAATACAGTGCAAACAGTGAAAATAATACAAAAACCCAAACATTACGAGTGAGAAAATTTTCTAATAAAATTGTTTCTATTAAAGTTATCTATTTCGCATGTGACTTACGCATGGACATGACTGCATAATTTTTTCAAGTATATTTTTAATAAGTAAGAGTAAATACGGTTTCTCGTGGAATTTGGAAAAACATACACTCGTGAGCAGTTAAATCATCATTCATTTCTTCAGAAATTGATTGTTTTCACTGTCTATGAACACGGAAATATTTGCATAGCATGACCAAATTGTCGGGCTGGCTCGCCACTGCTCGTGAGTTTTCAATGACTTCAAATTGCACTCGTTATGTTCAAATTGCACTCGTCCTTCGGGCTCGTGCAATTTTCACTCGTTCATGTTTTTTCCCCAAATTTCACTCGAAACCTATACAAATCTTGAACGATTTTTTCCTCTCCATCCTAGACGCTGCAGAAGTGCTTCGATCAAACAGAAGGTTGTTTGAACAGAATGTTAATAAAGCGATGAGAGGAGGTTATGTAAACGGTATATACTTTGAAAGATGTCTTGGACGGTAAACAATTTGAACAGGAAAATGTAAACATCAACGGCATGATACCCAGCATGAATGTACAGTATATATAGTATAAGAAAGAAGAAATTCGAGGGGAGGGGGTAGTTTTCTTTCTGTACCTTGTACAGAGTACCACGGAATTCTGAAAGTAACAATCCTCGAAAGAACCATTGGCTGTATTTATATCTGAAGACGTCTTAAACGTTTGAGACGAATTACTTACTGTATGTAATGTAAATACTTAAAGTTCGACGGAAGAATGAAACTTTCAAAGTGACTTGACAGCCAGCAGTCGGCTATTTACGCGGCTAAACTCCCAGTATTATGGTGACTAGTTAAAATCTACCTTTTATAAAATCAACAGAACCCAACCCCAAACCCTTCCCCATAGCTAACCCTAACTGGTAAATCTGATAAGCAATAGATGCAGGCATCATTTCATGTAAAAGTTTAATATTTTTGTCGTCTGCTGTTTGTTAGCTCAGGTTTTTCTATGCCCCTGAGAAACTAGAGCAAGTGGTTATTCGAAATAAGTACATTTTAGAAACACCATGCGTCATAAAAAGCTAAGTTACCTGAAGAGTGAAAAACAAGTTCGGGTAACCAACCGCGGAGAAACGTCGGCAAACTTTTACAGATACAGATACAGATATTTCACAGCACACTCCCTATATCAGGGCTTTTCAGTGACTGGTTACATTATGAATAGATAGATAGAACCGGACTGACGTGAAGCAGACCGAGGTAGACTTTGAGCTTACAAATGGCGCTTGAGCAGCTGCCGCTATTAGTCCATACCTCATTAATGATCTGCCTGCAGACCTATGTGCCTAACCCACCCAACTTTTGTGTTTATTTCTGGACTATCTATGACGGATTTGAAAAGAAAACAGAACAATACGCGCTGCAGTTGTATCGATCTTATATACTTGCATTTTTTAGCTTTTAGGTACTTGTTGGTTATTTACCAAGTTTTTAGCTTTTAGGTACTTGTTGGCTATTTACCACTAAAAATGAGCATTTACGTGCAGAAATTGAAAAACATCGCAGAATGCAACTGCAAAAAATTTACATTATTACAAAATAAATATCAGGTGGAAAAATAAATATTCGCTGCATGGCTATCTGGTCACTTCGTAAAAATTAACGTTGTCTATTAGATGCGTCTAAATGACGTATTTAACAAACGTCTTTATCGTCTTAGACGTTTAACCGTCTACTATAAATACGTGACGAGCAAATTTAGACGCACTTAAGAAAGAGCCACTCAGACGAATGTCCCAAATCCAAATACTCTATACCGTATTTTTGCGATTACGTTCTTGGTGATATGGTCAACAGTTCAGCTCGTATTTATATTATTCGCACGTAGCACCAGTGGTGTAACTTGTGGTAAAGGTCCTACCCGTTTAAAGTAGCGAGTGTGGGCGGGGGCTACGTCAAGAACATGCAAAATTTCCTGAAATTCATCAGTTTCACCATTTTTTGAGCCATCAGTTTCGCCATTTTTTTAGCCAAGCGGCGCCTAAAGGAGTTACGCCACTGCTTAGCACAAAACGTTTAATTCGTCTAGATACCTAACACGTGTTCTAGTATAATAAATACGACCATTATTTTTGGGATATTTTAGAAATTTACTCTTGGGTACAGAACCTTAATCCTGGAAATAGCTTCGCCCTCCTGTCCAAAATAACCTGTCTTCGTATACCGGTTATCAATACATATGTACAGTATATCGATTAATATTTGCATAAGGAGTATAGGCATGGCCCGGTAAAATAGGAAGACGAGTTGCAACGAATTCTCAGATTTGGCTCTGGGGGTGTCGAGAATTCGGGGGGGGGGGGAGATGAGCGAGGCACGAGTTGGGACATTCTCGTACCCAGACCCCTTCTTACGCGCAGTCAGCGACGAAGGGCTCTGGCAAAATCCAACCCGGATACTATAAAAACATGGTATCCAGTTATACACTGCGCATGCTCAACTCTTATTGAGCATGCGCAGTGTATAACCGGATATCATGTTTTTATAGTATCCGGTTTGGATTTTGCCAGAGCCCCTCGTCGCTGACTGCGCGTAAGAAAGGCTCTGGGTACGAGAATGGAGTTTGGGAGTATTGTGTCTAGTGAGGACATGATTGTTGGTAGCCCCCAGGAAAGATTTTTGGTCTTATTTAGTTTAAAATACTTACTTTAAATCATACTACTATTATTTAAGTCAATGAGCATTTAAATTCAGTGATTGGGGGTGCAAAATTCTCTAGGTAGGATGGGAAAGCTTTCTGAGGGAGTGCAAAATGTTTTGGAGGTGCGCACTCTCTGCACCCCCAGAAAATCCGTGTTTATGTCTGTATGTAAACGAGAGTTACAACTTTTACCAACTCTCATCTTCGTTTGACCTGGGTCTTATTAAGTTTCTGCAGGGTTCTACCCGTTCAAAGTAATGCAACTTGATGCGTATAAAACAAACCTATAGGAAATAAACTATTTTCGCGGGATTCTCAAAATGTCATTGTTCCATAATACCGAATGGTTTCCGTGCAGGATTGCTTGATCCATGCACGAGGGATGTTGCTCAACTTTCGGAAAGCGTACGCTTTCCGAAAGTCTCACGACATCCCTCGTGCGTGGATCACGCAATCCTGCACGGAAACCATTCGGTATTAAGGCTCATTTCCACTCAGGGAAATTTTCCGCAGAAAGAAAATTTTTTAAAATGTGATTGGCCGACACAAATTTTCCGTCGGAAAATAATTTTGAAAATAATTCAACTTTTAACAATGATATTTTCGGAAAATTTTCTGTCCGTGGAAATTTTTCTTGAGTGGAAATGGGCCTTTAGGAATGTTCGGTATGAGAAATTTCCGGTGTCGGTATACCGAAAAAATTATACCAATATTATCGGTATACCGGAGGAAATTATGAGTAATTCTAAAAGGGAAAACGATCATTTCGAACATGTTTCGAACCGAACGACACGTGCTCAGTGTAAAATCTCACTGAAGTGGAAATTCTAAATCATTGCAGTACAAAGTTCTTTGAATTGCCATTCAGTAGTAAGATAAAGCTTATGGTTTCGCCATATAGTTGGTAAATTTAACACGGTGTACCGAAAAATTCCGGTATATCGGAAATTTTGGTATATCGGTATAGTTGAATATCCAGTATCGATATACCGATATTGATTTAATACCGATATTTTCGGTATATCGGCTTCCTCGTACCCAGGCGCTTATATGAAGTATTCAGGTAGGCAGCCGACGCGCGAAGGGGCTGTTGGGAAGGGTGCGTGCTGGGGAGCGCCCACTGAGCTATAAATACATGGAGAGCGCAACTATAGATACAGAAATTGAAGCCTGAAGTCGCGCGCGGCCGCCATCCTACTGTGACCACCTTGAGGAGTGAGGTATTGTGATTAATACGGTATTTTCAACTGTTTTGTTCTGTTATCTCGCAATAGAGGAACAAATCAAGTCAAATATGGTATTTTAAGCAAAAGCACATGTTCAAGAATGTTGGGGACCTCTTTTACATTCAAATGAACTCAATCGTAAAGAAACGTGTCTATATTTTTGACGACGTTTCTGAGTGCGACTGAGATGAATCATGAATACAGTCGTGACAACACCTTTCAAATGGGAATTTCTGATAGAGATCGGTGAATTATACCATAAGTTAACACATGAGAAATGAGGAAATTGGTCATGAACTTTATTGTTTTGGAAATGGTGAATTTTAATATGGACAAGATCACAATATACTCATATCACCGCAAACAAATTTATGTCGCTTGTGGGATTTGTTAAAGGAACAAATGATTTAGGATGGTAGAAAAAATAGCAGGTGCGTTGTAGTGACCTTATTTATGTTAATGGTGGGTGTTTAAACACAATGCCTTGTGAGAATATATACCATACCATCCCTGCTTGTGTAATATGTACTTCCTTATTATAGTCATGATTAATCATCACTCTTCTGAGAAGACCTCAATGGTGTTTTATTCCAAAGAAGCAGATTAAAATTAATAAATTTGAAAGAAATTGAAAGTTGTAAAATAGTGGTATCTCATTTCTGTGCTTTTTAGATCCTATAGAGACAGTATAAGGTGAAGATGGAACAATGCTGCAAACAGTTACTTTCAGTTGCATGTCTATATATGCATTAAATAATTTATATATTGCATTGTGTAAAATCAATTTAATTGTAAAGGGTCTCAGTATTATAGGATCTGTGTGAAATTCCAGTAGTTTGTTGCCAAATACTCATTTAGTGTGTTGATTTACATAAACTTTAACTTTGATTTTCTCGGCTTTATAGACAATGTTTATTTTTAAAATTACTTCGCCAATGAACTCATAAGATGAGTTGTTTTTTAAGCCATTTACAACATTCGCGTCCGTGTTGTATTGGATATACAAACTCTCGCTTTCTGCTCGAGTTTGTATATCCGATACAACACGGCCGCTCATGTTGTAAATAGTACAAGTGAACTGTTTAACAGAACTCATCTATCTATCTGTATACATGGTCATTACTCCACTGTTGTCATGCACTGCTGTTTTTTAATATAAAATGTTGTCACACGAAAATAACGCTAATTGATTTTAGGGTGCTTTTTGTTATTAACTGATGTAGTTAATAATTACTTACGGTAGTCTATTTTACACCGATTTTACATAGTACTTTTCACTTAAACAATGTAATTTTTTGTTCAGTTACAATATAAAATTGTATATATGGCCACATAAAATAAATTCCTTGATTCTCATCACTACACTTTGAAAATGTCGAAGAGCCGGGAGGTTTATATTTTATATTTATATAATTTATCATCAATAAATAAAATATAATTCCTAACATTTAATATTTCTGTGATTTCCAAAGTAAAGTATCACAAACCGGAATAAACATTATTTCTCCACGAACAATGACTGAACCCTTCAACTGAATGCGAAGTTCCGTTAAAATGCAATGAAATTTCTTTCAAGGTTCTATTTGTTTGAAATTGGCAGTTTAAAATGGCAATAAAAACCCAATTTTAAATATAAAAAACTTAACTGTCTTGAAATTTTTTGTCAAACAAAATTACACATATAAAACAAAATATAAAAAAATTTCACGCGGCTCTTAAAATACAGTCGGGCGGTGATGAGAATCAAGGAATTTATTTTATGTGGCCTATATAAACTTTTAATAAATAGGATAAATCTATCAGCCTAATCATAAAAAAATGTATTGGTTATAAAACATTGTTTGTTGACTGATTACTGCAACCTGCTGAGATCATTTTAGCTTTGTCTTTTCTTCATGGAGTAAATCAGGCTTTTAGGTTTCAAGAAATTGTGACATTGTTATATGTTCTGCCCCTCAATAATACAGATCAATTAATAAACAGCATAATATGTAGTATATTTTATGAGACTGACTGCTGCCTTGACACACCTACACACATTACAATTGCATTAAAATACACTACAGTACTGCTTACAAACTTTTACTTTAGTCATTTTACAGTAACAGAAAGACGAAACTGTTAAGAAACGAATGAATTGAGGGGCCGACCATTTAACTTTTGAGGGGGGTGGTTGATTTACTGCTGGCAGGGAATTTTTTTCTGGGATCGTTATGTCCAAGTTTTCTGGTATCCCATCACCATTTACGATTTTTTTTGGCCACTCTCTCTTTTGCAGCACTTTTTCAATAGCTTACACTATTTAGATTCTTTAATTATAGTTAACGTTGAGTTTTCTAGCTTCATGCATTGCTTTTAATAATACATATTGCTATGAGGTATAACATTTGGTTCAGGGCCTCTTTTAAGGCAGGGCCATAGGAAGCTCTTTTCGATTCGGGGGGCTGAATGCGAGGGCCGAAAGACCAAGGAAATTTTTAAATGTAAAGTCTATGAAATGCCACTTCCTGGACTTTGGGGAAGATTTGACAGAATTCTGATGGTCAGAAAGCAGCGTTTTAGTATGTTCAAATTGACAATTTAGTAGTACTAAATGGACAAAGGCGTATTTAATTAACTATATATTGGATAAGTTGCAGGAAAGTATGGGTAATATCTTCATTCTTTGCAGTTTGTCATGGATTAAATGATAAAGGTCTGCATGATTTGGAAAAAAAATGATTATTAGCAAATTATTGGGGAAGGGGGGAGGGGCTGCCCCCCCCTGTTGCTACGGCCCTGTAAGGATGTGCAACTGGAAGGGACATATTTAGCGGGGGACGGGGAGATGACCCAGTCGGCAAGTCTGTGTCGCTGCAGCTACCTGCAACATATGTATGCATGGTTTAACTAATAAGTATGTGCCATAGGGCAGCAGATCAGGCCATACCTAGAATTCTGAGACAACCGAGTCGACCACCAAAGGTGGGAGCCTCTAGAGGGGTCTGGGGGCATGCCCCCTCCCTCTGGGCGCATGCCTGGATTTCTTGAAGCTCACTTTGAGGAGTTTTCCAACAAGATATTAACCTTACACTAGTCCCTGAAAATCAAACCAGCTGATCTTCTGTGATTGGTCAAATTGATCCTTGCAACCATGGTGTTTTGCAACATTTTTTCCCCACCAAATAATGCCAGGCAGGATATTTTTTCCCTCAGTTTGTTAGTGCAGGTATTTTTTTTGTTCAGAATAGCCTTGCAGGAAATTTTTTTTCAAAATCACCCCCCCCCCCCTCAAAAGTTAAATGGTTGGCTCCTAAAAACAAAGCAGTGACAACAGTTGAGTAATGACCATGTATACAGATAGATGACTTCTGTTAAACAGTTCACTTGCAGTATTACAGAAATTAACTAATGAGTAAAATCATCTGGCACTAGATAGAGCAAATATTAATGCGGGTTTAAATGCTTTTGAAGGCTTGATTTCAACCTGCATTTTGTTACAACCATTTTTACCTCATACGAGGCAGTTAAACTTTATTTGGCAAAACACACTAAATGAGTATTTGGCAACAAACTACTGGAATTTCACACAGATCCTATAATACTAGAGACCCTTTACAATTAAATTGTTTTTATACAATTCCATATAATTAATGCATATATAGACATGCAACTGAAAGTAACTGTTTGCAACATTGTTCCATCTTCACTTTATACTGTCTCTATAGGATCTAAAAAGCACAGAAATGAGATACCATTATTTTACAACTTTCAATTTCTTTCAAATTTATTAATTTTAATCTGCTTCTTAATTTGGAATAAAACACCATTGAGGTCTTCTCAGAAGAGTGATAATTAATCATGACTATGACTTTAATAACGAAGTACATATTACACAAGCAGGGATGGTATGGTATATATTCTCACAAGACATTGCGTTTAAGCACCCACCATTAACATAAATAAGGTCACTACAACGCACCTGCTATTTTTTCTACCATCCTGAATCATTTGTTCCTTTAACAAATCCCACAAGCGACATAAATTTGTTTGCGGTGATATGAGTATATTATGATCTTGTCCATATTAAAATTCACCATTTCCAAAACAATAAAGTTCATGACCAATTTCCTCATTTCTCATGTGTTAACTTATGGTATAATTCACCGATCTCTATCAGAAATTCCCATTTTAAAGGTGTTGTCACGACTGTATTCATGATTCATATCAGTCGCACTCAGAAACGTCGTCAAAAATATAGACACGTTTCTTTACGATTGAGTTCATTTGAATGTAAAAGAGGTCCCCAACATTCTTGAACATGTGCTTTTGCTTAAAATACCATATTTGACTTGATTTGTTCCTCTATTGCGAGATAACAGAACAAAACAGTTGAAAACACCGTATTAATCACAATAGCTCACTCCTCGAGGTCACAGAATAAGAAGGTATAGCAGAAGCGTAACTCTAGTCGTTTCCCTTATTGTTTTACGTCCACGAAAATTTTAACTCGCTCACGCCAATCCACGCTTACGCCAATCCACGGGCATACATGTCCAATACTGCCGCATGTATACGGATGGACAAAATTATTTACCATCCGTAACCTATATTTTCGTTTCGTGACTTCCTTTCCATCACGTGGTCTGATCTAAATAATTGCATCATGCTGCGCATCCTGCATGCACCCCACGAAAGACATTACCATCCGTACGATTCGTACGGCCGATGGTACGGACGAAAAATCTTGAGTTTACGATCCGTCTGAGCGAGCACACAACACCGTTTCATGTTTCGAGCAGCTCCATACACAGCTCCATATACATACAATTTAAATACTCGTTCTTGATATGTCTAAAAATTCACGCAAATGACGAAATATATCAATATAATATGTCGTTGCTTCGTTCTTAAGAAACGACGCAATATATCAATATAATATGTTGTTGCCTCGTCCTTAAGACAGACGCAATATATCAATATGATATTTGTTGTTGCTTGTCAAAAAATTCACGCCATATATCAATATAATATGTCGTTGCTTCGTTCTTAAGAAACGACGCAATATATCAATATAATATGTTGTTGCCTCGTCCATAAGACAGACGCAATATATCAATATAATATGTTGTTGCCTCGTCCATAAGACAGACGCAATATATAAATATAATTTATGTTGTTGCTTGTAAAAAAATTCACGCAATATGTACTATTTAAAGCACGCGTAGGAGTGAAGTATCACATATAAAACACGACGCGTAGCGGAGTGTTTTATATGTGATAAAACACGACTACAAGTGCTTTAAATAGCTTAAAAAACGACTCATCTTATACGAGTTCATTGGCGAAGAAATTTTTAAAATAAACTTTGTCTAAACCGAGAAAATCAAAGCTAAAGTTTATGTAAATTAACGTGATTTTTTATCACATATAAAACCACGACACGCTTATGATTTTTCTTTGTGTTTTGCTCCTGAATTATTAATGAGTTTTTTAAATCAATATAATATGTCGTTGCTTCGTTCTTAAGAAACGACGCAATAGATCAGTACAATATGCTGTTGCTTGTCAACATACATACAATTTACTCGTTCTTATATGTGTCAAAACATTCATGCAATATGTGGAAATAATATGTTCTTGCCTCGTTCTTAAGAAAGGACGCAATATGTCAAAATCGCTATAGGCCTATTGTTTCTTGTCAAAAAAATACGCAATATAGCAATATAATATGTCGTTGCTTCGTTCTTAAGAAAGTCGCGCCCGTCATAGCCCGCGTATAGCAGCACAGTGGTGGCAGTCGCTTTATTTTGTTGAACAACGGTTTTGAGGATTATTTTTCCTGCGTGTCTCATAAACAGTATATTATACATATTACATATATAATTAATTATGTATACATACAATTCTATCAGTCTCGTTCTGAAAAGCTACCCTTACCAAACTGACAGATATGTGACAGATATATGTCACAGTTCTGTAAAATATCTGCAAAATATATGTTCGAAAGTATCTGCCACATATCTGCAACATATAGGAATTTGGCCCCATAATATATGTTCGAAAGTATCTGCCACATATCTGCAACATATAGGAATTTGGCCCCATAACATATCTGTCACAGATATCTGTCACAGTTATGTGACAGATATCTGTCACAGTTATGTGGCAGATATCTGTCACAGTTATATGACAGATATCTGTCACAGTTATATGACAGATATCTGTCACATATCTCAACCAACATATAGGAATTTGTTATATGACAGATATCTGTCACATATCAGCAACATATAGGAATTTGGCCCAATAACATATCTGTCACAGTTATGTGACAGTATAGTTTCCCTGCAGATAAAAGTATCTGTATATTATCTACCAAACAGGTATGTCACATAACTGCCACCAAGTGAGATACGTATAAACATAACTGCCACCAAGTGAGATTTATCTCTTGCATAAAACTATTTCCTCTTCTGCAACATCACGTTGCTGCAACTGTACCTCTGTCATGTTCACTTGAAGCCATAAATAATTTAATACGAAGAAATATTAGATCAGAATAGTAAATGTATTTATTAGTAAATATATAATTATGATAGGTTACACATATAGATAAATTTAAGACTGTACAATCAATTTTTCTCCAGGGGCCAGTTGTTCAAGGGTGGATTAGCTTAACCCTAGGTTAACCTAAACTTCAAAGCAAACTTCCTGATAGCTTGTCTATAAATTTGGAAATATTTCTTCAGAGATCTTGTCTGGATCAATAGGAGTTTTCTTCTTTGAAGTTTTGAAATAAACAGGCGTGTAGAAAATACACAAACTAAAACAGCAGGCTAAATTTTAACCCAGGGTTAGCGCTAGTCCAGTATTGAACAACCGGCCCCTGGGGCAGAGTAATTACACTTACTATAACCTACACTTATTTAAAATTTCCTAATATTATATTTATATACATGGCCAGCAATAAATAATGAGTACCTAAAAGTCATTAATTGTTAATGTCAAGTCTCACTCAGCTGGTTTGCTTTTAGTTCAAGCCCCACAGCATTTGTCATGTACCATGTACTGCATAGCAGCTGTCTTTCCATAGACTGTATCATCCAGAACAAAAGCTAAAAAAATAGGAATTAATAAAATCAGATTTATTTAATATGTTTTAGATTTAATTGGCATTGAGACATCAAGAATAATCTAGATAGTGTTAGGCCAAATGGGGGATGCCCTTAGGGTAGCCACGTGTTATGGGTTACCAGGTATATATTGGCTTAATTAACAATCTACTAGGTTACATTTGATTTGATACTATTTTTGTAAAGTATATTACAGGAGACATTAGGGCTTACTAATGAGTTAGCCAACGAAATCAGTAAACACGAAGCTCTAGGAAGATGTTCTGTGACTGGTTGATTATGACAATGACAAAAGACGTAATTGACTTACATAAACAAAAGGAATATTGTTCTTGCTTCGTTCTTTAGAAAATCCATTCTATAGCTTATTCTTTTGTCATTGTAACAATCAACCAATCACAGAACATCTTCCTAGAGCTTCGTGCTGACCCAAAGAAATCACCGACCCTAATCCTTTTATCTGAAGTTTGCAAAGAGTTTGGAACAATTTTTCATACCCAGTTTGTGGCGTTAGTTTTGTACTAGCTATATAATACTTTTGTTTGTGGAACACCATGTAACTACATATGGTGTTTCCACAAACAAAAGTATTTTATGTTTTATCGCCATGGAAACCCTGCAAAGAAAGTATGACTTGTTTGTTTCAAAATCAAAGTTGATGTAATATTTAATGAATGTTTGTGTCATCTGTGCTGCTGTAATTGATGTAGAATATCATTCTCATGCATGAACATTTATATAATAAAAAATTTACAAGACAAAAAGAAAACCCTACCTACTCTGGCTAAATTTTTTGGGTCCAGCCACAGCCCTCCCCCTGCATTATTGCAGGCCTATGGACAGCTCTACATGTACCATACTGTAATGACTCATTTATGACAGAAAATTGACTATTGCACACTGACCCTTTATACTTCTGGCATAAATACACATTCTGGATTATTAAAGCACTAAACTACTAAAGCCCTACACACTATGCTCAATTTTTAGTACGGCACAAATAAAACTGATACCTGTACCGAATTAATCTGTGCTCGGCCAGTATGAATAGGTAGTCCAAGCATGGTAAACATGTTACGAGTACCAAAATTGAGCACAGTGTCAGTGTTAACAGGCCTTAAAATGGCTGCATTTGGAGGTAAACTTAGGATTCATGTGCAATTATGTTGTTACTAGTTACTAAATTTTTGTAGGGGCTGTTTATAAGATTGAGACTGATTTGTCTAGCCTAGGTGGCCACCTTAGCCGGGCCAGTTTGTGATTTTTTTCATAGAAAGCACTAAAAGCTGACTATTTATTCTTGTTAATTCTTACCTTACAACACCAGTTTGTCAACTCAATCCAGATCTGATTGTTGAGACTTGAGAACAATATTTGGAGCACACCGGGCTATAATCCAGTTCCAATATTAATCTGAAAATATATAAAGAGAACATTTGGGGCATTGTCTCAGCGCTCATACATCTTCCAGCTTTTACAAACAAAAATCATTTTATACAACTGAAGCTCATTAATAAAGAGCTTGCAAGACTCTCCCCTTGACGGGTAAAATTGTCTTAAGCAACACAGTTGCAGCTTAATGGGTTAAGGATCAATACACTGATACATCACATTCAATGTTGTAATTCTTCTGCAATTACAATCCTTATTCATGTATTAAAATGCTAACATATTTTTAACAGCATTCAAATGTTTAATATATTATTTCATATTGTTAAAAGCACAAGTATGTTTAATATATTATTTCATATCGTTTTATTATTAAGTTATACACCCTTGACAAAGGTCTACAAAAGTGCCAAATTATTATGGTGCCAAATTATTATGTGCCAAAGACAATTATTGCTAAATTGTTGAATTATGTGCCAAATTATTATGTGCCAAAGACAATTATTGCTAAATTGTTGATATTATTAGTGCACAATTTAGTACAGAATTTACTATAATAGATTCGAATTGATATTTTATTCTTTCTTTCCTTGCCAGAAACCAACAGTTTGTATGTTTTTTATGTAAATTGAACGCGGCAAATTCAAAATTATATTTAACAGAATTTCAGACACATGGCTCAAGTAACAATCATATTTTCACTACATTCTTTCGCAATTAAAGTGCTTAAATAACAAGTCAAAATATAACTATTCTTACCTGTGAGATCTGAATAACATTTTACGAACTTTTCCATGCCTTTTCCATCGTTTGGGTTTGAAATTTCGATAAATTTCTTCACCATGTAAGACATGTAAATGTGCTTTCAAATTTTTAGCACAAAAATTCGAAACGACGCTATCCCATGATACTTTGCGCTCCGACACTTAAACTGGGCACCAGGACTCCAGGCAATGCGCGAACTATTGCAGCCAGTTGCTTCAGTTGCCATGTATTAAAATATAGTTTCTCTACGAATATAAGGAATATTTACAAATGTTTTCAATCAGTTACTGACTGTTAATTAATTTATTGTTAATAAATTCTCAGAAAATGAAAATTCTCTACAATGATTCAATAAAACATGGAAAGAACTCAACTTTAGAAATTAAATTAGAATGTAGTTATATGGTATCAGGGATGATGGAAAGGGGGTGGGGCAAGGTCTCCTTTCCTAAAGGGGCAAATGTAGCATTTTAATACAAAATAAAACACAATATTTTTGTCCCAAATTTACTTTAATAACAAATTAATTAACAAAGATAAATATGATAGAAGAGAATTTGTATATTTAATTAGCTATTCCCAAAGTCCTGGGTCTAGTCGCACAAATTCTTTGTTGAAGGGACAAGTAATATGGCAGCACACGTTTAAATTAAAATTTAATGTAAAAAGGAGATATTTCATTTTTGGTCATGTAAAAAGTTGATATTTGATAGTAGATACTTCTACTCTTTCACATATTTGATGCCCGTCTCCATATATTTTGTCCCTCCAAATCACCCCAGAATATGCACTGTGATCTCTTTTGAGAAAAGGCTAATTACAGTTAAAGTGAATATACTAACCCATATAGAATCTAAATCCAGGATGACATTTCACATCTTTTTTTTTAAAAGAATATTGAGGAAAAATATATCATTTTGGAAAAAAAATGCAAAAATTGCAAAAGATGTTATATTTAAATTTTAACAAATTTATTTTCGTTCTTCGAGAAAATAAGTAAGAAATAATTTATTATTAACCATTATTTCTTATGTTAAGAATTTGATTTCTTGTTTTAAAAATTTTGTTAAGAAAATGATTTGATATGAAGATGACAAAATCGTAAGAAAACATTCATATTTCAAGAAAACAAATGTAATTTAAGATATGTTAAGAGAATTTTTCTTATTTCAAAAAATGTTCTTCAACAAATATTTTCTTGCAGTAAGAATTGTTTTCTCAATAAGAAATTATTTTTTACTGTGTAGTTGAGATACTATAAGAATTTTTTTTTACTGTGTAGTTGAGATACTGTATATTGACAGACAATTGGCATATCTACATATATCTGCAATTTTTATGCAGATATTTTGCAGATATTTTGACAGACAATTGACATATCTGCAAATATCTGCAACTTTTATGCAGATATTTTGCAGATATGTTGACAGATAATCAACATATCTGCAAAATATCTGCAACTTTTATGCAGATATTTTGCAGATATGTTGACAGATAATCAACATATCTGCAAAATATCTGCAACTTTTATGCAGATATTTTGCAGATATGTTGACAGATAATCAACATATCTGCAAAATATCTGCAACTTTTATGCAGATATTTTGCAGATATTGTAGATCTTGTTGCAGATATGCTGCAGTACTGCAACAGATATATGACAGATACTTGCAGACATTTTACATATATGTCAGTTTGGTAAGGGTAATGGCATATCTATTTACAGACTATTTGGTCATTTAAAAATATTAATAAATGTATCAAAATATAAAAATATTTTATATCCTGATACATAACATTTTACCATTGATGTTGTTTATAATTTCTACCTATTAGTGCCTACCTTTAGCGAGCTTTGAAGTTAGAGTTTAACAACTCTCCAACAGGCCTCTCTGTCAAAGAGCTTCTACTTCGTTTTAAGAAGTTTGAGAGTGCAAAGATGTCATATTGGAGAAGCAAAGAAAGGAGAAGGGTAAGTAATATATAAGACCTTTATTATATACATGGCATTGCACTTATTATTGAAGCTGATTGCATGCATAAACCAGAACAAGACTTCTTCAATGGCATGCAGACTGATATATCAGACATCAGGAAATGTTATATACCGAAAATACTGGTATTAAATCCAATGTCGGTATGACTTTTTCAGTAATACCAATATACCGAAATTTCCAATATACCCGAATGTTTCAGTACGATATGGTAAAATAATCAATATTTCTATTAAAAATCTCATTGAAATGACTGAAATTCCTTCGAAACAGCTTTGAATTTAGGGAAGGTTAGTTTGCTGACCTCAGAATGACATTTCATCAAACCTTTTTTCTTCAAGACTGGTTTAGAACCAAACTTGGAGTAGGGTTAGGATTAGTATTCGGAATAGGGTTAGTATTAGTAAAACCCCTTTACTTTGTCAAGTATACCGATAATATCGGTATAGTTTTCCCAGTATACTGATACCGGAAATTTCTCATATCAAACATCACTATTGCTAGCTCTTGTTTGATTTAAAATGAATACAAAACCCATAGTCCGTGTGTTGTGACCCGATATCGTTCACTTTCATTAAGCATGTCTTAGATCTGAAATATTTTTGCGGGAACTAACACTTTCGAACACGCTGATTTCAAATCCGAAAAGTTCCCACTCTGTAGACCCGCAGTTTTTTCACAAAATGCTATTTTATCTTCACTAATTTCACAACAAATTTTTTCATTGTTCAACGATACGGATCGATGACGATACACGATTATGTCACTCAAAAGGACCAATTTCTATTAACCATTCTTCCTTTTAACAAAAGATCGGTTCTGCTCGAATCATTTTGAGTTATGGAATCTTATGCGTGTTGGACGTAAACAACATATCTTGTCTATAACTTTGAGAAGGTACAGATAACGCTTTCTAAAATCCTCAGTTCTAGAGATATCTCTTTAAAATCACAATGACGTTAATGTCAAGTCTTTTAGCTATGTCACTGGCCTGAAAAATAACTCTTTTAACGCGATCAAGATATTTAAAACAAAAGTAACGCGAAGCCAACGTAACGGCAAAGATAACGCTAAAACGAAATATTGTCGAATGGTTGCAGGTAGAAGACTTACGACAGGATCAATCTTAAATAACCCTAAACTATAAGAATAAATGTTCACATCAACGACAAAGATCGGTCACAAAGTATAAAATACGCTCTGTAAACTTACCGCGAAGTGGAGAAATGTGTGCATGAGCTGTTTATTTGATGATTTCGACGTATATAGAAGCCCTCTTTCCAATAATACTCGCTTATCGCACAGTATAACACCAACTGATGTAATAGTTCAAATGCAATGATAAGTTATCTCTTGAATTACGTCTTGGAAACCGTGTTGGAAATTTCAGTGCTGATCCATTACATATAGATTACCGTTTTATATCTTTATATAAAACATTCTGATCGCATGTAAGGAATTATTTCTCAGCCCAGAGACATAGCCCAAAGACTTAACATTAACGTCATTGTGATTTTATAGAAATAGATCCAGAACTAAGGATATTAGAAGGAATTATCTGTACCTTCTCAAAGTTGTAGACAAGATATGTTGTTTACGTCCAACACGCATAAGATTACATAACTCAAAATGATTCGAGCGAAACCGGTCTTTTGTTAAAAGGAAGAATGATTAATAGAAATTGGTCCTTTTGAGTGACATAATTGTGTATCGTCATCGATCCGTATCGTTGAACAATGAAAAAATTTGTTGTGAAATTAGTGAAGATAAAATAGCATTTTGTGAAAAAACTGCGGGTCTACGGAGTGGGAACTTTTCGGATTTGAAATCAGCGTGTTCGAAAGTGTTAGTTCCCGTAAAAATATTTCAGATCTAAGACATGCTTAATGAAAATCGTTTTCTAGGCACTTTTCGAGGTCACAACACACGGACTACCAGTCGAATTGCATTCGTAAGAATTGCATAACAGATTTTATGAGTTAAATTAACACCTAACTTGTGCTTTGTTTTTACTCCTATCACAGCTTCTTGGAATTGCAGGATATGAAGTCTTGTTATGTGCACCAACAGAGGCATTAGCTGACAAACTGCTTCAGGTGATTGGACAGAAGTACTCTATCAACACAAACAAAGCACATCTGCAGAATGAGGTGATGCTAGCAGTAAGTGACAATACAATTCTATTATATTTTAACAGTCCTCAATTAAGTATTTCTGCAATTTCCTGCTGGTTTTTCTTTTAAATTTTCAAAATGTTCATATGATTAAATGATATAAAATGTTAACTTAATGCTTAAAACTGTGAAAACTAAAAGAATTTAAAAATTTCAATTAAAAAGGTTTTATATATACACTTGGTCAAGTGCTCTGGGAATTTAACCCAGAAACCAGTATTGGTATGTAGTGGTCACAAACACGGTGGGCACAAAAGACAGCTAATTCGGCCATGTACAAGTAACTTTCTCTCGTTAGTTTGGAATATCACGAAACTTCCTCACAGGATAGAACTTGCAATTCCTAAAAATCCTATCGTTTTTGTTTTTCGAGTTTGTTACATTTTGGCGGGGAAAAAAAATTAAACACGAGCTAAGAACATGCTAGTAACTTTTTTGAAGAGATTGTCCTATAAGGATCTCAAAACTGTAAAAACATTAAAAATACAACAAGGCAGTGCGAAGATATGGCGATTCAAAATTCGAAAAAAATCTATTTTTAGTAACAAAATGGGGTTTTTTCCCAAATTTTAAGCACCATATCTTTGCACTGCTTTGGCGTATTTTCAATGTTTTCACAGTTCTGAGATCCTTATAGGACAATCTCTTCAAAAAAGTTCCTAGCATGTTCTTACCTCGTGTTTAATTTTTTGCCACTTTCCCGCCAAAATGTAACAAAATCGAAAAACAAAAACGATAGGATTTTCAAGAATGGCAAGTTCTATCCTGTGAGGAAGTTTGGTGATATTCCAAACTAACGACAGAAAGTTATTTGTACATGGCCGAATTTGCTGTCTTTTGTGCCAACCGTGAAACATGTGCATTTTTCTGTTTAACCCATTGAGTGGCATTGCACTGTGATGTGCCCTACTTTATTATTTTACTCCGTCTAACACCAGACGATTTTACTTGTCAAGGGGAGAGCGCTGGCACTTAATGGTAACACTGGCCTATCTGCCCATGTGTCTAGTTAACCCAATGAGTTGCATTGTGCCCTGATGCACCCTACTTTATTATTTTACTCTGCCTATACGCCAGATTATTTTACTCTCTCTATATGCCAGACGATTTTACTTGTCAAGGGGAAAGCGCTGGTGCTTGATGGGTTAATTAAGCCATTGTTCAACATGTCTATCAACACCAGCTTCAGTATCTGATCCCATTGCTTTTATATATTTGATAGCGTAAATATGTCAGAGAAATGACAGTTTCACGGGCCAAAAAAGAGGAGTTTTGGCAGGCCATGTACTCATGGAAGACGACAACCTGGCCAAATGGGCTATCGCCGGATGATTGGCGTGCAGTTAGGAGGGAGGACTTAGCTGCCTATGATGCAAAAGAATAATTTGATTTGACAGTTGACTTGACTTTTTTGCTATTTTAAAATCACCTAGCATGAAACAGCATGTTTTCAGACTTACAGTAGCTTTTCCTAGTGTCTGAATTCCCTTGCCAAAATCTAAACAAATTAAGGTTACAGGATACCCGGAAAACCACTGAATAGCAGAACGATTAAAACCAAAGTTGGATAACTTATCAAGCAATATTTGGTCGTCCAATGTATTGAATGCTTTGCTTAGGTTTGTAAAAGACAAGTCCAGTAATATATTCCTTGTCTAAAATGTTATGGAGCAAAGTATTTGTTACATGTGTAAGGCAGGAGGCTGTTGAATCTAGTGGACAGAAGCCAGATTGGTGAAAGGAGAGCAATTTATGTTCTTGTAGGTACTTATATACCATCCCATGGACAAGCACGTTCAAGAATCTTTGAGAAGATAGACAATACAGATATAGGTCTAAAGTTCGAGGGATCTGTCTTAGTCCCAGCTTTGTGAACAGGAGTAACTACTGTATGTTTCCAATCAGTTGGTAAAGTTCCCTCGTTTATAGTTCTATTCATAAGGAGCAGAAGAGGTTCTGCAAGACCAGGGGCTCCATCCTTTATGGTATATCTGGCATACCAGATGATTTCTTTGTATTAACTGTGCATAGTTGGGTATAAACAAACTCTACAGAAATTGAACTCAATTCAAAATGTACATTTTGATCTAGATTTCCCATTAGTTGCATAGGAGAAATTTGAGAGATCAATGGAAGAGACAGCAGCTATAGAGCTGAAGAGTTAAACCAAACCTTGATGATATTTTCATAGGGTCTATGATTGTAAGCCCCTTCAATCATTGATTGAGGCATGTTTATCAATTAGTGTCTCTTTAAATGACATCCACAACTCTTCAACTGTAAGAGATGTATCAATAACATCCCAAGACGATACAGCGATGAAATAAGTATCTTATGCTTGTTTGGGAGCATAATTTCCAGCCAAATCATTTTGATTTCGCTATAGGTCAGCCCCTTGGGCACGCAATGAAGTTAGATTTATAGGATATTGCAGTACCACCACCTCTCCGTTTGTCTTTCCGATCATTTCTTACAAAACTATATCATTCAATAGCAAGCTCAGCATCTCGCCAGAAGCAGATTAACTATGTTTCGTTTAAGCAGAGCACATCAAATGGATTTTCATGCAGCAGGATCTTTTATAGTTCATCAAGATGTTTCAGCAGACCATGCATGTTTAGGTGACCAATCTTGAGACCAGGTTTTGAAAGCCTTGGGTCACACCAACCTGGATTGGTTGCTACATCACAAGATAAAGATATCATCAGCGAAGCAATGCCGGTGTATTGGATGATCTTGAGAAATTTGATGAGTTTATTCGAGTGTGAAATATCGGTGCCAGGTGAAGGCCGCCTCAAAGGCGCCCGATATAACATCAATTTTTGGGATGCTTCAGGTGCAGCTAATTCTTTACTAGCGTTTCTAGGCAAGGATCCAGCAAATATTATCAAGAAAAATACTTGAATCAGACGTTTTTGCCAAGTATATCACAGAGCTGTAAAATGTACACCAACCATCTTGAATTAATCACTATATGGTTGATTTGATGGTTCTGATGTAGCAACCATCTCCATGCTTGCTGGAGAATATGGAAAATACAAAGCAATAAAATAACACACACACAGTTTGGAGGTCATCATGAAGGTATGTTTGTGAAGCTTGTTGAAAAGCTTTCTGAGCATGAACACTCCAACCCAGAAGCAACCATTGACTACCAGTTGTATCCTGGGGACAATAGTCCACTTATTGTCAGTGTGGTCACACCACTTATGAAATGTCTCCATAAAGACATTGAACAGTCTGGAGAACTCTAACACAAAAGCACACAATTTGAAAGCTTTTTTGTTGTGCACACAGTGTTGCAGGGGCATTGCCATGTATGTGGCCTGCTAATTACCAGTGATGGGAAAGAGAGCAGCATAAAACAAGTGTTTACCATGCTGAAGAATTGTCTCCCTGACTATGCATAATATGGCAATGGCCCATCATTGGGCCCGAAAATTATGTTAACTGACATTTGTCAAGAACAGAAAAATGCTTTGAAAGCTGTGTGGCCATCTGTTATTTCATTGCTTTGTATTTTCCATATTCTCCAGCAAGATGGAGATGGTTGCTGGATAAGAATCAACCAAAATGCTAGAACTGAAATCTTGGGTTTACTTAAGAAAGCCCTGTATGCCACATCTGAAGATATGTTTGAAGAAAGCTTTGATGAACTTCTTGATGAGATGGAAGAAACATACCCTCAAGCCTTCAAGTATTTTGAAGGCTTGTATATGGAAAAGAAAGAATTTGCTCTTTGTTTTGGAACTTCTTTGCCTGTCAGAGGGAACCAAACGAACAATTTTGTCGAGTCACAGTTCCTGGTATAATTCTTGCTAGGGTAAAAGAATACAATGTTGTTACACTTTCTGATAGACTTACTGTTGATTTAGTACCTGCTCTCAATTGTTGATTGATGTTTTGAAGGTCACTACAGGAGTCGTTTCATGGGGGAAACAAAAGCACAAGGGTGATGGAGCTCAAGTATTCAAAGTCCATCAGAAGTTAGGAGTTTCCAAATGGAATTTTCCAAGTTAGCAGTATATCACAAGACAAGAACTGGTATGTGTTTCTGTTTTCACAAGTTACTTACAATATAGTCATTTGTTTATGCTGTTGTGTCATAATCAGACTTTCAAACTGTTTCAATTTCACTAGTTATGTTAATTATTTCAATATTTTTTAAGCCTGGCGCACACTAGAGCTATGTGCTTAGTAAAATGTCATTTGTGACTGTTGGCATAAGGAGATAGCTCTTGTGTGTGGGTGATTTATGAACGACTGTTGTGCCACTTATGGCAAATATAATTTGTGCCACATTCGGCAAATATCTAACATGTTTGATAATTTCTGCCTTGTGTGCCAAAATCTATTCATGTGCGGCGAACGAAACCTATCTGCTTATGCAGCCTAGTCCCAGTCGTTCTGAAGCAAGCACGAGAAAAAATGTGGATGTAGTACTGACGAGACTGCCGCCTAGGTGTGACGTCACCGCTAAACTTGCTTCAGAACGCCTAGCAGATTTCAGTATTTTTAATATGGCGGAAAATTTATATATACAAATAACCTTGTGAATACGACAATGTTCGTTGATCATGTTTGATGACTACATAACCAAATTCAAACTGTATTAAAAATGTGCTCAATAAAAAAACATACAAATTTACGATACTGAGTTTGAGCAATGGTCGTATAATCATTGATGTTATTTACATATTTGCAAGTTGTAATCAACACTAGACCATACTGGTATACACAACTACGCTTTCTACTTGACAGGTTTAAGTAGCTGAGGAGATTGGAAATATTTGCCTGACATGACTGTGTTGTCAAAACATTTTTAGTCTGAGACTCAGCATAATTTTCAAGCTGTTAGATAGCATTTAATATGGCTTTATATTTTAGTAAACACGAGTCATATTTAGCCTGTTATTCCATTCTAACCGTATGGTAGCAAAACGTAGCCTATTTCATTGTTCCGACAGCATTAGAGCAAAACTAATGACTTAATTATTGAACGCTAAGGAAATTTCCATAACATTTTCTATTTAAAAATGCGGTATGCTTGGTAACCAGGCCAGGGACCATTTTTTTGAAATCAGGGACCATTTTACCAAAACCTGCTAGGCTCTCTTGTTGAAGCGTTCCGCACAGCACACCCAGGCATAAAACTTTTAAGACTTATTTAAATATATGAAAGCAGCGAATAGAGAGAGAGCCTGGGACTAGGCTGCTGCTTACGGTTTGTCGTAACACACATGTGTAGTATACGAAAGTAAACGTCCAAGATGGCGGCGCAAAATGAATTGCTGGCCAAGGCAATTTTCGAAGACAAACTTGTCAATCTGTGGCCTGAATACAGATGTTTATACGTTGTAAGTTCTGCAGAATTTAGAAACAGGGACAATAGGGAATGTGCCGTTACAGAAATAGCCAGTAAGCTTTCTCAAACAGGTAATATATTAGCACTTGGATAACTGTCACTAAACTGTGTTTACCATTTTTAGTTAAATTTTCCTGCCACGATGCAGCATCCATTTTCGGGGAAAATGTATACTACTTGAAAATCCTAGGAAATGTTGGTCAAAACATGACAACACCCCCCCCTAATGTTGATGGCTTCACAACGTCCCTGTCAGAAAAGAGTACAAATTTCGATGATGGGTTACTATATCATTCCATAATCGTAATAACATGGATACTGTAGTCATGCAAAAAACTTTCTTTTTATTATCCACTGTGAAAATCACAGTAAACAAATGTTTTTATTATCTTTTTAGGTCAAATATGCATCGTTTGACAGTGACATGACGTAAGGACTTCTAAGATCAATTGTACTTGCAATTTTGTCTGTAATACTTGTAAGTTTGTGGGACAATCACATTCTTAAACAAATTAATATTGACATTTCAAAACGTTTAATTAATTAGCTTGCCTTAGCTTCTTCTAGCCATGTATTCTTAAACCACTTTTGAAATTTTAAGTGATTCAACCATACTTCACTCTGCTGAAGGACTGAGAGATTTTTGTGATAATCATCTTCTGTGTTTGACTTTGCAACAGTTTGCAGCAGTTTTAGAACGTCATCTTTCTTGTGCATTAAGCCATTATCACCTTTCTTAAGCCATTGCTCCCAGGCTTGTTCACAATGAAAGTCGCATATATAAGTTGTCGTCCCTGAATTAACATTAAGAACAAGGCACTTTAAGATTTTATACTGGAGAATAAACATACTATTTACCCACAACAAGAGTAACTCCAAAAACAGGGGATTCGTAATATATATGGAGAATAATACATGGTGCGGCCAAGCACCCATGTATTTTTCGTGATAATTGAAAAGCAATAATTTTCACATGTGAGGATATCATAAATAATCTTCACATGTGAGATTATCACTTTTATCAGTGCTTGAAATCTCTATAAAGCACTATACTTTATATAATAAATAGAGATTACGTCATGGTTGACGAGTGCGTATGATTTTTATTCACGAGTTGTGAAAGATTACTAACGAACAAGTGAGCACAGCGAACAAGTGAGTTAGTAATCTTTCACAATGAGTGAATAAAATCGTACAAACGAGTCAACCATGACGTAATTTGTTTATTATATATATAATTAACCACGGTGGTCGGTTGCTAAGTAGTTTTCTCCCGGAAGCACGGGCTCAGATATTCATGCGGTTTTCCCCATTAGACTAGATTTTCCCTCGCAAATTATTTAAAATATGGCGGTCTCTGAGCAACTTTTAGCTGCACTTTCTTGCCTTCAACTCGGATCATCCGGTGATGACACCGAAAGATCTGATCGGTTTTGGAATCGTTCGTCTGTAGCTATGAAATTTTCAGTGGAGCGTCTTTGGATGGATGCAGTTTGGAAGTGCGAAACTAAACCAAATTATGGTATGCGTGGTCTAGATGCCATCCTTGAGGAGCGAGCTTCGAACAAGTTGGAGCTGACTGGGCCGCTTATTGATAGTTTTTTCGTGAGTTGGGGAAAGCTATGTACGTAAAGCTTGGGAGATCAAGGAATACTGGTCTTATGCCGCCTGTTAAGCTCTTTGTGCCTTACGCAATGTTTCGACACTTGTGTAATGTTGCTGTTGGCTATGGCGGCTCAATGAAAAGCAGCAAGACGACGCTGGCTGTAAATATTGAGTCTTTCGAAGCCGCTTCAAAAATTTTCTCGCCTGTGGGATTTGGTGGCCAGAATTATTTAAAGAAAAGGCTATTCGACAAGATGAGAGTGAACAGTCGCACTATATTGCAATACTCGGGAAGAGCATCTGTTGTTGTTGGGAAATCAACACCCGTAATATTTGATTACAACATGAAGCAAGAAAAGCTAACTTTAATATTTTATGTTCAGCGCTATGACAAGGCTGATTTCTGTTTGGACTTATGGCTTCAAGCCCTTATGAACAAAGACTAAAGACTATAATTTGCCAAAATTATATCATAGAATTTTTATATATATTTGTAAATATATTTGCATTTCATAACTGGACAGTTGAACTAATTTTATAGTGCCTAATGGATTGTGCAGACTGCAGACATATTAGAGGGTATAAATATTGTTCTCGGTTAAATTCCATAGCAAGTTTAACTCTTTATCGACAAGCGACATTTTGACGATTTTACAACTCAATTGTTTATAACGTAAATATCTCAGCGCGTATTCACCCCCCTTTAAAACAAAGAATACCATTTAAATCCTAATAAAATAACCTTTTCAACGGGGGGTTGAATGCCGTCAAAGCATTACACAAACCGAAACAATCATATATTTACTCACCGCTTGGCCAAAATTTCGGAATTTCGTTTCCACAATAGCGTAAATAACTTGAGAATTCTTCAGAGTTCGGCTCAAGTCAATATGAGTGAAATATGTGCTGTATTCAAGCGCTTTTATATCCAGAATTTCACTTGAATACAGCCACTGGAAATGTTTATTTTGAGTTTTTAAAAATATCGGGTTTTTCTTGGTTTTTCTCGCACGCGCCTGCCACACGCTAAAATTGGCGAATAAGAAGTACCCGTAGCCCGATGCACGTGCAAATCATGCTGCAGATGTAATTTGACCTTTAGAATCGATTTCCGACGTTTCCCGAGCGCTAGGATGTAAACACGCGATGTTTGGCCAATTTAAATCGCATTTCCGGTCAAAAAATATCCCGCTGAGTTCGCTAATATCGCAACAGATTGAAATATCGAAATAAAAGACGAAGAACTGAGGCTACAAGCCTCAAAATAACACTGTAAATAGTGTTTTTGATTGTGAATCGAACAAGACTACAACAAAAAATACATGTTTGAAGGGGCCGAAGTTGTGTCTGGCAAAAGGTATGGCTTTAGTGATAAATTGTTTACATTTTTCGAACAAATATGTAATTTGTTGAAATATGATATGTCTTGACCCTTCAAAGGTCATAAATCGCTATAATGTTTGTCTTTGACTAAAACTATCATTATGAATCAGGAAATATTATTTCGCTGAATTGAATGGTAGTATTTTCATCTACGTAGCATGTACTGAACCGAAGATATGAACCTCCAAAATACTATTGCAGTTGTGCAAAATCGCATTTCCGGTCAAAAAATATCCCGTTGACTTCACTAACATCGCAACAGAATGAAATATCGAAATAAAAGACGAAAACCCGAGGCTACAAGCCTCAAAATAACACTGTAAATAGTGTTTTTGATTGTGAATCAAACAAGACTACAATGAAAAACACATGTTCGAAGGGGCCAAAGTTGTGTCCAGCGAAAGGCATGGTTTTAGTGCTACATTGTTTATATTTTTAGAACAAATATATAATTTGTTGAAATATGATACCTCTCGACCCTTCAAAGGTCATAAATCGCTATAATATTTGTGTTTGACTAAAACTATCACTAGGAATCAGGAGATATTATTTCGCTGAATCGAATGGTAGTATTTTCATCTACGTAGCATGTACTGAACCGAAGATATGAACCTCCAAAATACTATTGCACATCTGCAATAGTTTTCACAGGGCCAGTCGAAAAGGAGTTAAACGCAAAAATTACTTAGTAAATGTGCTAGCCTACCTGTTGAACAATTTACATTCCGTCAGCTCTGCTGTGTCGTCGATAAAACAACATGATTTACCATTTACTTTGCTCGTATTTATGCCGTGATGTACCATCGATGTCTCTGTCACCATGTGCTTAAGTCACTGACCTCGGAATTGCAACTGGACATCATCTATGTCACTGATCTCAGAATGCAACTGAAGAAAGCTGCGCTGTTAGGGACTGTTCATAAAGTAAAAGGGGGCGGGGCGGGGGATGTGCTAATTTTTCGATTTAAAGTACCCCAATACATGTAATACAGTACTGTAGAATTTGAAGTGTGGTGAATGATAATATTAGAGACCTTAAGATTTGCGTTTACTTCGAACCGCAAACTGCAGTTTGTCGTCAGCCGTTTGCCGTTGGCGGTTAGTATTTTTAGGTTATTAAGATTAAAGTGTATGAAAATACCGCAAGCCGTTACTATATGACAGGCTACATGAAGTAGTTCAGCGTGGCAGCAAAACAAACAAATATGGCGACGGCGCGAAGGTACGTCTTTCATATTTGACATTGATTATATTGCTGTTTTCTCCTTTTCAGATAAAAAGTATTTAATAATGTATATTTGCTCTGGTTTTAGGAGAAGCTTTAGAGATGTTGTAACAGTGATGTCGTACGATGATAGTAGCGATTCTTCAAACAGCAGTAGTGATGAAGAAGACCTCGATTTGCTATTTGTTGACGTAGCGTTTGGGGAAGGCCGTGTGCTCGATAGCAGGCCAAACATTTTGGATTTTACAGAAATAGAGTGCGAAGAAATGTTTAGGTACAGTAGTTTCCTCTTCTATTCTATTCTATTTCCCAGCATAGAAATTAATACCCTAATCCCTCTCCTAGTCTCCTCCCTATATCTTTTCAACACATTGTTTGTAATATTGATAATAATAATTTATATTTAATATATGTATATATATATATATTTGATATGTACACTATGGCTTTTATAGTTTCACCCTTCGTCAGTATGTTCATGCATGTAATCTTTTCATTTATTATTTTCACTTACCAGGTTTGAAAAAGGTGATATGCCTCGTCTTCTTGAGGCATTACAAATTCCAGCTGTCTATACTGGTTATCAGGGCTCTGTTTTTAACGGCATGGAAGGACTTATGGTTATGCTGCGTCGGTTAACATATCCCAATAGATGGTGTGATTTGGTGAAAATTTTTGGCAGATCCGAGGCTGAGCTTAGCATACTTTTTAATATGGTAACTTATTAAAATTTACATGCTTAGTAAAAGTATCTAAAGGATATAAGACCCTATGCATTTAGTGTAAAATTAAATATAATAATTGTGACATTAATTGTTGGCATGAAATCAAACAAATTGATGTTATTACTCTTGTAGGTAATTAATGACATATATACTCGCTTTAACCATTTGCTCACTTCTTTGGATTTGGCATGGCTGGATCCTGCCATCTTTGCTGATGCAGTACACTGCAAAGGAGCACCGCTGAACCAGTGCTGGGGATTTATAGATGGAACTACCCGACGTATTGCCAGGCCTGTTCGAAACCAGAATGTTATGTACAGTGGTCACAAAAGAATCCACTGCATTAAATTTCAGGTACGGAATGTAAAAAGTAACATATAGATATAAATATATCTCTAGATTTAAATATTTCACAAGACCATTGGCAGAGGGCATCTCTTGGAACTGGAACTAATATCAATAAAGCCAAATCTTATACTCATTTGTTTTCCATTTCTAGTCTGTACTTGCTCCTAATGGTTTGATCGCCCACCTGTTTGGGCCCATAGAAGGCAGAAGACATGACGCTTTCATGCTAGGAGTCAGTGGCCTACTACCGCTACTTGAAAGGATTATCAAACCTAACGGTGAACCATATGTTGTCTATGGCGACCCAGCTTATGGAATATCACGCCATATTATATCCCCATTTAAAGGAGCACATTTAACTGAACCACAACAACAATTTAATCGTGATATGAGTGAAGTTCGTGTATGTGTCGAATGGGGATTTGGTAAAATCGCACAATATTTTGCATATTTGGACTTCCAGAAGAACTTGAAAGTTCTCCTCCAACCAGTTGCTAAATACTATGCAGTGGGAGCCCTGTTGATCAACTGCCATACATGTCTTTATGGCTCTGTAGCCAGTTCATTTTTTAACCTGGATCCTCCATTACTTGAAGATTACTTGACCAATAGGAACTAGGAACTAGAAGGCCCAGTTTTGTCCATACCATGCCAAACAAAAACATGACAATTGTTATTGTTGAGTACATATATTTATTCATATAACTTAATTTATTCATATAACAATCAATGAAATAAATTATTTATACATATTTACATATAACATAATTAACTTTGTACAAATTTTGTACTGTACATACCAACTTTATCAACAGGGTAGAATAAATAACTTTGGTGGAGTGTTAACTTTTGCTTTTCAACAGTATGAAACATGAAGGAGTTAACAACTATAACAACTTGTCTTTTAGGAGACTTAACATCATTCTCTTTTCTTCTAGTTCCAAATCAAGTCTTTCTTTCCGTTCAGCTGCCTCGATTTCAAATTTTTGTTTCTCAAACTCAAATTCTAACATCCTCTGCTTGAGCTCTTGCTCCTTTAGACTTGCTTTCCTGTCATACTTTTCTTCCAGCATGTTCATAACAGAGAGCCTGCTAGCTCTTTTTCTTGGTTTTCTAGACACTGATATAATATAATATAATATTAACATAATATTAATATATCATGACATGATATAATATAATAATAAGAGAAATTTAAATAGAAACCTTGCTACTGTAAGAAAAATCAGACACTATTTAGATGGTGTTTTCCCCCCTTGCTCAAATCTTTGTTGGTGCAGGAGCACCAAGAGCAGACTCCTCATCTAAATCGCCTAAAGTTACTGTACCTTTCTTTGCTGGTGCAGGAGCACCAAGAGCAGACTCCTCATCTAAATCGTCATCATTTTCTGAACCAGAATCACTTTCATGCGGAAGCACTGCAATAAATCAACAACTTGTAACGTGCTTATTCATTTAAAGCACTTGTCAATGGGAACCCCCATCCATCACTTTCATGCGGAAGCACTGCAATAAATCAACAACTTGTAACGTGCTTATTCATTTAAAGCACTTGTCAATGGGAACCCCCATCCTGGTAAATGTGGGCAAATGATTGGCGATTCTCCGGTAAATGTGGGCAAATGATTGGCGATTCTCTTTTGCAAAACTTCCCCCAGTGGTTGGGTGATTGTAAATGTGGGCAAATGATTGGCGATTCTCTTGCAAAACTTCCCCCAGTGGTTGGGTGATTAGCACAGTTTAGCAGGATAATTTTTGGGGGATCAAAGTATTATATAATTTAATTTAATTTAATTTAATTGAAAAATAATTTTTCCATCAGAATTTAGTGGGGGTTTTAAGGGGTTCAGACTAAATACATATACTGCCCCCATGTGGTAGGGCATTTTCCCAGATTTTGTTTCACCTTAAGTCTAACACCCCATGTTTCTCCAGGGTGGGGGTATGGGGGTTCCCATTGACAAGTGGGAACACATTCATAGGGTACACACTCAGAGAATATTATTGATGTGCATTTAATAATTAAGTGAATTAACTCAATTAGCTGCTGCAAGAATCTTTTGACAACTAAAATCCCTCAGCTTTCTTTAGACAGAGTAAAAGGAGAAAGTCAGGCATGTTGTTGCTCAATAGGTTGACATACTATTTAAAGGGGTTGAAGAGTCCTTAAAAAGTTAATTATACTAAAGCCAAATTGCATTGGCACACAAGTTTATACATTACAGAGTGTGAAATCTTACTTGACATTCCAGATAAAGCTTCATTCCTCATCTCAGTTCCTTTTGCTTTGTCCAGCCTTTCTTTTTCCTTTTTCCGCTCTCTTCCTTTGATCTTTACGTTTTTTAAGTCTTCTATATCTCTCTTGTAAGTACTTATATCTTCTAACAACTGATGCAGTTCAGAGTACTCCTCTTCAGTACCAGATCTAAAACGTATAATTAATCACACACAACGCAGTTGTATTCACAAGTCTATAAATATCAACCTGTACTCGATTTAAACGCAGTTGTATTCACAAGTCTATAAATATCAACCTGTACTGTATTGACAGTCTAAAATTTATATTCAAAATATATACAGTAGCTTACTTTTTAAGATTTTTCTTATCCTCTTCATTGTATTTCATAAGTAAACGGTCAACTCTCTCTCTACAACCTCTTCCTTTTAGGATTACCACTTTTTCTGCAATGCTGAATATTTCACTCAAGGTTTCAGCTACACTTTCCCATTCCATTGGCGACGAGGGTCTTCGTGCGAGAACTTCCTTGCACAATAATATGTCATAGGCCACATTTGACCATCTGAACGGGGCCATTTTCTAGATAAAATATCAGTTAATGTCTAAGTTACGTCTGAGTTGACGATATTTCAAAGAAATGTACACAATTTATAAACTCTTGCAAATCTAGCGAAAGTCAACTTGTTTTGGAATGCCTGGCGCCATCTTTGTTTTCATCGTGCTCGTACAACTTGCTTTTAAAAGTCAAAACTCGCCTGGAAACTTTCTATAGAACCTCATAAATATTAAAATCCAGTACTTGTGAAATAAAAGAAGCAATCTGTAGGATATAAACGTGGCTTTACAATGGTTTAGTAGCAATAAAACTCTGCAGTAATTGACTTACCTCTAGAAGCACTCTTTCGCGTTCAAACGTGAACCTCAGACGGCAAACTTGATGGCAAGGTGAAGGTCACGTGACATTTTCACGTTCGCGGTTCGAAGTAAACGCAAATCTTAAGGTCTCTATTCTTGAGATCTTCCAAGCAGAGGGAATGAGTTAGCATCAATACAGGAGTTTATAATGTGTGTCAGAGGAGCTGCGATTATATCAGCAACTGGTTTAATGTACTTTGATGGAATTTGATCAGGACCTGTTGAACTATCATTACGAAGATTATGCAATTCTTTTAATACTTCTGCTTGGCTGACCTTATTCAAACTGAAACTTTGCTCAGTGGAAATAGGCAAAGAGTCAATGTAAGCGTAGAGATCGTTTTTGCTAACGTTATTCGTGTAGCCCAATGTCCGCTGAACAGTACAAGCAAAATGCAAATTCAATTCGTTTGGGTCATGTCGAAGTGGGGTTTAAAATAGAATGAATTACTTTCCAGATATTTTTGGAGTTTCTGGAGGATAAGACTGTTTGGTAGAAGGATCGTTTAGCCGCCTTGATCTTGGTTTTTAGACTGTTATGAACCTTTCTGAAAGCATTCCATATACTGTCAAGAGAGGTCTTGTATGCTTCAAAGTGCAATTTATTGCGTTGGATTTGGAGAGTTTGTATATCGCCGGTTTTGAGCCACGGACATGGGGGACGAGTGACTTTTACTCGCTTTATTGGCGTGTGACGATCAATGCAGTCTTGGATTAGAGTGTTAAATGACTCAAGCATATCTTCAGGATCGCTGAAGGCATAGATTGCACTGAATGGCAGTGAGGAAACGTCAGTGTAGTATGTTGCCATGTCTACGTTTTTTTCATCACGAATTATTTTGTATCGTGGCTGAAAACAGGAGGTGCGGACATTTAGGCAAATGTAAGGGGCGTCGTGGTCGCTGACAGAAGGACAGGCTAAAACGTTAAAGTAAGAAACACAGCGAGGCTTATTAGAAATAACATGATCAATTAAAGTTTTTGAGGATTGTGCAATTCTAGTTGGTGTGGTAATATGTTGATGCAGATTTAATGACTGAAGCATATCATTGTATGATCTTGTTATCGGGTCAGAAGGTTTCATAAGATCAATGTTCATATCTCCCATTAAAATAAGTAGGCCGTCCCAAGTTGTAATTATATCAATGAGTAGAGATTCGATTGTATCTAACCATTGTTGTGTTGGCATTATGCGTTCCGAGCGATATATCGTGCCAAGCAACAGTTTGCTATTTGTGTTTCGACCTGGCACCTCAAGCCATAGAACCTCTAAATCAGGATGTAGCTGTTCAAAGTCTGTACTTATGAAGGTATATCATCACGTATGTAGGCGCCAAGCTTGTGATGAAAAATATTCATTAATTCTCCTTGTGATGAAAAGAGTGGAAGGATTCTCACAACTTCACCAAACACCAAGGACCTACCAGAAGAGAAGTGCACAGTACTGGGAACACAAATTAAAGGAGAAGCAGACAAAGCAAAAGCCCAGAATGGATGATGAGAAACAAGCACATATCAATGAGAATAATGATTCCAATAATGTACCAGATACTGAGAACATGTCACCTACAGAGCTTCGGCAGGCCCTGAGAAAGATTGGCATTAAAACGTGTGTGAGGAATGTTAAGCAACTGCAAGAAATGTTCCAGGACGCAGTACAAAATGCACATGAGGCAGTGTAAAACTGCACTGACTGTTTGTAAACTGAAAAAGGAAGGGGGCAGCATATCGACTTAATATAGGGTGTATAAAAAAAAGGTAATCGAACTTCAGCGCGCTATTATACGTGAATTACTCTGTGTATGAACAATTGGTTTTCATATTCGGAAAGATCAGGCTTTTAGCTATTGAATGACATGCTTTTTATACCAAGTGGAGAAAAAATAAGCATGTACGAGGCTGATTAAAAATGTTAGTCAAAATCGCATATTTTCACCTCTGTGCCTAATTAAAACAGTGCATAACAAAAGAAAAAAGCAATTAATCACGAACGTGTCGTAGCTAGCTAAGATTATGAATATGTGTGCAGTTTAATGAAGTGAAATTCATCAACTTAAGTCCTAAAGGGAATTCATTTTCAACTCTCAACGGTGAAAATATGCGATTCTGACTAAGATTTTTTATCGGATTCGTATTTGCTCATTTTTTATCCATTTGGCATGAATAAGATGTCATTTAACAGCTAATAGCATGATCTTTTCGAATGTGAAAAAATCTCGTTCATACTTAGAGTAATTCAGACACAATAGCGCGCTGAAGTTCGATTACCTTTTTTTTTATACACCCTGTATTATTACATATGCACAGTTTGGTTTAAAAATAAGTAATGAATTATATATGTATATATAATTTATTTAGTACTATAACTTATTTACATTACATGGACGTCTTACACTGTCAATACAAAGTTTTTCAATAGGCATTTTGGGTGCCTGTGTTAATATGCCATCCCTAATTATTTGGTGGTTGGGCGTCTGACTTAAAATTGGCTTAATTTTAAAAGGAGGCATTATTGCCTTCCCTTCTCCATGTAAGCTAAAAGTATACCACCAATACTCTGGAAGTTGCATACAGCACATGTCCTCAATAGCATACAACCAAAACCCTTTATGGTTTGACTCTGTACCTTTTCCATGGATGATATAGCGCCATAAACCAAGTCCATGGGGACATATGTGGGTGCAGTTGACTTTGATCTTAGCATTGTCAGTATTCCCAGGTATAACTGTCTGCTTGCAGTTTCCAACCTTTCATGGCTAGGCACTGGAGGCATTTCGTAACTTCTAGAGAATAAAAAATATTCATTAAGTATTGTGAAGCAGTTCAATTTTTGACATGGAATTAAAATTAATACCACTAGGCTACCCTAGGGCTAGGGGCTAGGTATAAGTTAATGCCTATCAAGTTAGCTTACCATGTAGCAATGGCTACAATGTAGGCTTCTACAGTTCTATTGGACACAACATGTTAGCATATAAAAATAGCTATCATTATGCATCTATCATCTCTGACATTATATATTTAAAAGCTTTAGAACAATTTAATTAGCTTTAGAATAAATATAATTTTCTTGTTTTAATACCTCGATAACTTGCCAAATTCTTGGTAAAGCATTACAGTTTCCTGGTAAAAGACTGCAGAAATCACTTCCGGAGTGTTTTTTTTTACCCTAGACAGGGATTTTGATTGGCTTAGGCAGAAAAACAAACCTTTTAGAGCAATTTTCACGATTATCACACACGGCGCACGAGCGTTGTAATTTATAATTGTGTTGTAATTGTATTGTTTGAATTGCATCCTCAAGACGTTCTTGGCTTTATTTTGCAATTTTTTTATTATCTTGTTTTCATGGAGTAATAAGGCAATGAAATTTGAAATTTTCAAATTTTATCAGCCAAAGTTTTTGCAAACTGCTAAAGTGGGAAACTGGTCACAGTGGATGACAAACTGGGAAAGATTATTGAAATGGGAATGTCTAAAAATCATCGAAATACTTGCCTTGAAACTCCAGACACAACTCCCAATGCCAGGTTGAGATACTTGTCTTTGTACGAAGACATTACGTCTTTACTAGCACTATCAGTTTGCAAAATAAAGCCAAGAACGTCTTGAGGATGCGATTCAAACAATACAATTACAACACAATTATACATTACAACGCTTGTGCGCCATGCGTGATAATCGGGAAAATTGCTCTAAAAGGTTTGTTTTTCTGCCTAAGCCAATCAAAATCTGTATCTAGTGTAAAAAAACACTCCGGAAGTGATTTCTGCAGTCTTTTACCAGGAAACTGTAATGCTTTACCAAGAATCTGGAGTCTGAAGTTGGCCGAACACTTTCCGAGCACGAGAATTGCCATAATAGGCATAGATTATTTTGCAATTTCCCGAGACTGCTCCAAGCTATAGAATGAAAGATGGCGACTCTTTTAGTATATTTGTCTTTATTATACGTTGAAAAGAAGCAAAGATACAAGCATTTGAATCAGGCGGAACATTCAAAATGCAACAGCAAAATTGGTAATGCGTCTTTTGCATAAATTTCACCGCATTGATCATTTCAAGGTAAGAAATTCGCTTGAAATTGAGCGAGAAACAACAAAATTATACAAATATTTCGGAATATATAGTATCGATCAAGCAGAATTTTTTGGTGGTATTTTCGTATTTCCACTGCAAATACTAGCGGAGCTCTTTATTATTTTAATCTTCCCATCATATACCTCGGAAATCAATTCTGGCGGATCAAATTGAGTTAAATTTAAGTTATTCGCAATAAAACTTGTCGGCAAAAGGAAATATCTATTGTTTACCTTTGTGATGACCGGGAACACGTTCAGCGTTACTCGCGGAGCTTTTATAAATTTATATCGGCAATTATCATAAATATAAAATAGTGTTTATAAGTTCTTATATTTGAATACAAACACCACCTTGTAATTTTTTTAAGCTTTTGGAAAGCCTTTATAATTGATCGTTTTAAAGTTGATTAAAATTACTAAATAGTTGCACGCCAACATAATGTACAATATATTATCGTTGTTTAATTAATATGTACTGATGAGTGTGCCATAAATAGAATACACGCTATATTACAAAAGCAACAATATACTAAACTTTATAGTTAACTTGCTACCTGCATAGTTATTTTTCGTGTGTTAATTCTTCAACAAACAATTTAATCTCACAAATTTAATCTTTAATCAAACATTCGGGAGTTGTCGAAAAAATTTCGAGGTTAGTAAATTGTGTTACTGTAGTCTGTACGCCAAGGGGATTACGTTTGTAGCCAATGTTTAAGTTTCTCTAATTTATAAAAAAATATTCAAACACTCATTAATAATTCATAAGCTTATTGGCAAATCATGCCAACCATAATATGTCACGTGCAGTGGCTTTAAACCTGATAAAACACTTCTAATTAGTATTTTTTATATAAAGAATACTAATAAGGCAGTATATCTATTGAATTTGTAGTCGTGCTTGAAGCCGTTTAATAAACTCGCAGGTCGTGTTTTATTAGGTCTAAAGTCACTCGCGCTGCGCGCTCGTGGCTTTAAACCTAATAAAACACTCCTGCTTGTTTATTAAACAGTACATAAAAAACCACGAAAATAATATTGTTAACCCAAATCAAGTACTAAAAACACCACATGCAAACTACAATGTTATGTATTTTCTTTTGCTATAATTTATACTACAATTATGAGACAAATCAAATTTTGCCGAAAAATACCAATTGAAGTTGAAAGTTATTCACAGAATGGTGATTAGCTGCAAACTACTGTAAAATTATTATTATTGCTGTATAGATTAAAGATAAAGGACAGATCTCAGTATACGTTACAGCTAGTCAATGTCAATGCAACTAAGATCGTTTTATACAATGAATTGAATGGTTTGCATGAAAGGACAAAAATTCTGCCAAATGGGCAATGCGGAAGACTTTCAACAGAATATAATAACAAGTTCATGGATTTATTAATTTGATGCAACGTTACGGCCACACACATTTTCGACATTGTACTTGTCCGCTTATGAGGGATACAATGTCCTACACAAATTTATTTCTTCTGACCGTTTTAGACCTCAAAAATCTGTTGCATTTCATCGATCAAATTAAACTTTTCTGAGTTAAATACAATGATTGTGCAATATATTTTTACACTATAAAAACTCCGCGAACAACATTGAACGGTTATCACAAAGGTAAACAATAGAGCTATTTATAGCAATAATTTATGAATTTTGCACTCCTTCATATTCCTTTTGCGGACAAATTTTATTGCAAATAACATAACTTTAAGTATTCTACTTTAACCCTAAAAGTGTTTTAGACACCAGGTAGGTTGCACTTTTGAGAAATTTTAGTTTGAATTTTGTACCTAATCATTAGTTGTTCGGCTAACGAAAATATCGACTTCCTTGGATGGAGACTAGTAGGCTTAAAATAAGATGTACATTCAAATTCTTTCAACATTCTAAACGAAGAATATGTCTCAATATGCCGAAAAAAATTTTTAATTTGACGCGAAACTTTCTGAGTTATGATGCACAATTTAACACACATTTGACCGCCATTTTCGGGGTCAAATTTCAGTGTTGTGACAAAAATTCATCATAACTCAAAATAAAAGAAAAATTTAAAAATTCTAATATTAATTTAATACCTTTTAGGACAAATGTAGTTGATGGTAAAAATATAAAGGAAATCTAATTTTCAACCTGAAACGTTCTGCATGGCTCTTAGTGAGACAGCCACTTAAAGGGGAAGCCTCAGAAGGTTGTCTCCAATTGGATGGGTTTTTTCTCAAGAACAAAGCAATTCATTGTTGTAAACACAAAAGCAATTGTCAAATTGAGCCAATGAAAACTCTTCCGAGCTACTGCCACTCTTCCGAGCTACTGCGAGGCTACCCGCTTAAAGATCTTTAATATCTTTAAGATCAATGACTATTTAAGTTGTTTATTTATGTACCAGTTTACACGTCTACAAAATTTACCTGAATTTTTTAATGTATACTTTGCACAGAACAATGAAGTGCATCATTACAATACTCGAAATGCTAACAAATTTCATGTAAATTTTAGTAGAACAAATTATGTAAAACATACTATTGTTAACAAGGGAGTTAAGATATGGAATTCACTAGATACAGATATTAGCAGTATTATGTTTTATTGTACTTTTAAGAAAAAGTCAAAAATATTTCTCTTGTAAAATATACTTTAAAATATACTTAATTGTTATTATCTGTAAACTTTGTTCAATTAGCTCATTATTACTTTACTTTATACTTGTATTTGTAAATATTCCTATATTCTATCGATATTACATGATTAACTTACCGTATAAAACAATTGTAAAAATATTATGGAACTAGGGGCCTTTGAACAAAAAACCTGAAAGGGTTTCATGAATGCTCCTAGCCCGTCATATTGTATACTTTGAAGATTGTTAAGTTTTCCATATGGGCAAATAAAATGTAAAATTTATTATTAATCCTATTTAGAATGAATATAATGTATTAAAGTCCCTTGTCACAAAATGAGAGGTTACAATGATTAGAATCTTGTTGAAGCATAGATTATGAAAATACAAAGGATGATTTCGATATATTGAAATAAGTTATGGTGCATAATTCAGCAAGACTACATTATTTTCAAGAGATTCAGATAGATTATAGTTAACTGTAAATGAAAGGTTGTTCAGGCAGCGATAATCAGGAGCTTCAGCAATGGGGCTTCAGAAGCGCAGAAGCGAGGGCCCAGGGGGGCTGCCGCACCCTCACTTTTTTAGTTGGGGGGCTAAATGTCCTTGGGCCCCCCACTTTTTAACAATGGTCGGTAATAAACCACAAAGTTAAATGATATTATTTCAGTTACCTGTGTAGACAAAACAATTTGAAATATTTTATGACATTTTGTTACCTTTAGAACTCGTAAATCTCCTTCTAAAGTGCAGGAAATGGCATTTCAAAGACTTTAGTTTTAAAATTTTCCCGGGGGACATGCCCCTGGACCCCCCTACACTGTTACCTGTCATCACCTGTCTTTGGTGGACACAAAGTGTGTCCCCCACTTTTACAACCATTCCGACGCCCCTGGCGATAATAATCTTCTTGAACTGCAAAATATTCTTTACAACATTTGAGTTCTGTTAACCAGCATTTAAACTTTTGTTTAGCCTTATTTCAATACATCAAAATCACCCCACCCTCCCAACATGTAAATAGCCCGTAAGATGCCTGTTCAGGACGTAGGAAAAATGCAATTTGAATATCAAACACCTTGCACAAAGTCGGAGGTCAGCTAAATATTCTAATTCTAATTCTTAGCTTGGCCTGCATGGTCGGTATAATATGAATACAGTACCTTCAATAATTATAATTTCTTACTTTTGTGTGTATAATTATAATACTTTCTGTGGCAAAGCTAGCTATAGCAACAGCTAGGTCATGCTATGCAAATTTATTATTTGCATTATTCAAATGATGTAGGTTTATTAGCATATAGCATTACCAGTTGCCATGGCTAGCTTGCCACTGAATACTGTCAGTATAATATCATACTGTATATAGAAATACTAAGTCAGTTTTTGTCCCAAATATTGTTTTAATGGCACCTTCATGGCTACCCTTGTTGACATTTTTGTTTAATTAATACATCAGCTTCAGATGACACCATTCATTGTAATGATTAAGATTGTACTCAGCCAGAACTGCAAAACTATATAATAAGAAAACAATTGTGAGCATTATCGAAAAATATAGTATACCCGCGGAAATGTAGTGACACAGTCAGGTGAACATATGAATAGGCCGATAAAATTATTTCATATTATGCTAACAATGGACATAATATCTATTACTGCTGGTAAGTTAATATATGCAGACAACAATCCACACTGGGTTGCTATAGGAATCTTCTGTGCGAATCAAATCGAAACCTTGACATCCCCCCCCTGGCATTTGCTTGTTTAGTATTTGAAGAAGGCGGGAATTTGACCTTTTTTGTAGTGGAAGGTGGGGAATTTGCTTATAGGGGGTCGGGAATTTGAATTTTTCTTTTAATTAAACACATGTGCTGAATCCAAAATGGCGTCAATGACAATGGATGAGTTCAAGTGTGAAGAAATTAACTTTGTCCTTGGTTGGCTACAAGAAAACGGCTTTGAATGATTGAAGAGAGTTTGTGAAGGAAAGAAAAACTTTGTAATTCCAAAATTATGAAATGCTGTAGCTCTAATTCATACATGGGGTGGGTTATTTGAACTCCAATTTTTCACAATACATGGTGTATTTGAACAGGAATTACAAATATATGTAGGGAATTTGACCTGACCAAAACGTCAAAATCCAAGTTCTCGGGGGTATGCCCGGGGGAGATGTCAAGGTTTCGATTTGATTCACAGATTATTAAAGTGCCCTACAGTCATTTTTTAGTCGAAAAACCACCTTAAGTAGTGGACTCCAAGGAGGTTCGTTTGGCCGTATCTTAAATGCAGTATCTATGAGTATGAGTACTTCCGCACACCGGAAGACGCATGCATGCTGTGGTGCGCATGTCAAGTAGCGACAATAACAAGAAATGTAAACAATACCTAAAGGTGGCTTTTCGACTAAAAAATGATTGTAGGGCCCCTTTAAATTAAGCCTGATTATCAATTAGTTGCAAGTTGATATCGACAGGCGTGAACAAGGTTGTGCGGCCCAGTATGAACAGTATTGTTAACATGTTGTTTTTGTCAGTATGAACAGTATTGTTAACATGTTGTTTTTGTTACAACATTGTTCAACTGTAACAACTTGTAACAACATGGTTGACAACTTGTTCATAGTTGGCCACACAACATTGTTCATGCCTGACAACTTGGAACAACATGGTTGACAACTTGTTCATTGTTGGCCGCACAACATTGTTCATGCCTGTCGATATCAACTTGGAACAACATGGTTGACAACTTGTTCATTGTTGGCCGCACAACATTGTTCATGCCTGTCGATATCAACTTGCAACAACCTGTGCGTTTTTAGCCGTGTCATTTGCCATTCTCAGCAACAGTGGAATATAATGTAGCATGACATTTGAGTATAAAAAATCGTATAAAATGACACTATAGCTTGACTAAAACGTGCAATATGTTCTGCCAATTTTTGGCATACACAAGTGAAATACTTGCACCAATATATCAATACAATGTTTATAACTAGTTTTTGCCTCAATGGGCTCTACCACAATGGACAGATCAATAGTTTTTGCCTCAATGGGCTTTATAGTATCGTTATTGTGTGCATCAAAAGGATTCACATGTGTTGTAGTTGTTTTCGCATGCACTGCAGCTGGCATATTACGTGTGTCGATCACATATCTCGTAAGGAAACATGTTCGTATAACATGAAACACTGACAACTTTAGGGAAGTTATCTATACAGACACACATTCGACACCAGGTTCTAAGACAACAAAGCCATTATCCAGAGCTTGCAAGTACATTTTGTCTCCTTGTAATACGACATTATTCAATGTTGTTTTTGACCAATCGATCAGTGGTATATTTTGGGCAGTTAAAAGTGGCGATATTAACTGATAAAAGCACATTGTTTGCCTCTAGATTGAACACTAAAAAGATCATCGCCTTGATTTATATAAGAAGAAAGAAATAGAGCCATATTTACCTGAATTTTCCCAATATTTTCGATTTCTTGCATCCGTATTTAAAAGCTCGAAAACTCTTGAGCACATGGAGATGCGTGAGCAATACAAAATTTTGTTTTGACCGCTCCCCTCATTTAACAAACGTTCCTGAAGCTTTTAATTATTCCCCCCGGATTACGACATCTTTACAGACAGACAGACGGACACAAGATCGAGATGTCGACTATACATAGGTCGCGCGAAAGACTGGGTCGAGTGGACTCTGGAGCAACCACCACGTGTCAAGAATAGGGTGCTGCCTCGCTACGCTCGGCAGCAATTATTACGCCTTCCTTGCATTGAAAACACTCAAATTTCAAGAAAAACCCGCTAAAATTACCTGAATATTTCATGCAAAAAAGTTGTTTTGAGAAACGTTGGAAATTTCTAAGTTTATATTATAGGGGGGGGGGGGTCTCCAGAGAAACGAACATATGGCGTTTCTCATGGACAAACTCGATATCTGAAGCTTCTCTAACAGCCCCGTACCCAGGCGCAAATAACGTACTAAAAATAGCAACACTACAGTGTTTTTATATAGATCCGTGGCTAAGATGAGCGAGCGCGCGGAAGTGCTTGGGGAGGACCCAAAAAACTATAGAAAAATACCAAAGATCTATATAAAAAACTGTAGTGTTGCTGTTTTTAGTACGTTATTTGCGCCTGGGTACGAAGCTACTTCCCTAATACTACAACAACAAAAACAACAACAAAATATGTATTTCACTCATTCAATTAAAATTTACATGAATATATATGGAAATTGAAATATAAATAGCATATGAGTACTGACCGTCTATAACAACCATAGGGGCTACAATCTAGACAGGCAGTATATTTTAGGTCGGTACGATTACTGAAATACAACACAAAACGCAACACAGACACATAATTATAGCCTATTCAATATGAAATAAAATTAAACTAGTATTTTTCAAGAATTTTCTCCTTATTCTTTTTCTAATATTTATAATGAAGTAAGAATTCAGCAGAAGAAAGAATTCTTTAAATACAGACTGAAGAGGATTTCATATTCATTAATTTAGCCAAAACGCAGAAATATATATACCGTAGGACTGACTATCCAGTTAGATACGAAATGAAATAACAACCTTATCAAACACGGTTAACTCGGACTCATGTTGTCTGTTTGGAGTATTGTTTGGCATAGAATGCATTGTTTTGCAAAACAAAAGTACACCAGAATACGATAAATTTGCATTTACTATATTCCATTCTTTGTTTAAGAAAAGAACCACTTTTCGTTGACATGGATTTAGTATATACGTTTACTCACAGCACATATATACTTTACAGATTGGAACAGTACGATATCAAGTAAATGCGATACATGCAGCAATTATACAGTCTCGACATCAGGCTTTTGGTATATAAAATCTCAACTTTCCACCTTTGATACGATAATCTTGAGTAATGCTTAACAGTTAACAATTGCATCAATATATCGAAATTCCAGTCAACCCTATTCAATCTATTAGAAGTTTTGTTCGAAACTATTTGCAGTGAATAATGAATTAATAAGGCATTTGTAAATTCTGAACGCTGATTGGCTAAGAGCCGTGTTGATATAACTCAATGTCAACACGGGAAATTTTCCGCCGCTTCTAAACACGGAAAGTTTTCTTATCCTTCGGGCTTTTGACATCGCTATATATAAAAAAAATATAAAACTTTTTTTCCGTATTGATATATAGTTATATCAACACTCGTGGAAGTTGGAAAAACTCGAAATTGTATGGAAACACTCCGCCCATCGGGCGTCGTGTTTCCATACAATTTCTCGTTTTCCCAATTCCACCCGTGTTGATATAACTGTATATCAACACGGAAAATGTTTTATATTTGTTAAATGTAAACTTTTCCAAACATTTCTTTCTTTATATTTCTTCGTGCTATATTATAAAACAAATATAAAACATTTTCCCGTATTGAGATACAGTTATATCAACACTCGTGAAAATTGGGAAAACTCGAAATTGTGCGAAAACACTCCGACCACTGAGCTGTATAATAACGTGTGTGTGCTGAGCTGTGTAATATAGTATAGCTCAGTGACTCCGACCTTCGGGCGTTGTGTTTCCACACAATTTCTCGTTTTCCCAATTTCCACTCGTGTTGATATAACTGTATCTCAACACGGAAAATGCTTTATATTTGTTAAATAACAAATGATATTATAGAAACTTTAGAAATGTTGTTCCTAATGCCTGCGGATGAGGTTAATATACTAATGCAATTTTTTTCAGCCTTGAAAAATAAATAGTGATGCCTCACAGTAGACTAAGTGATCCCGAATATAGAAACTGGGTTACTGTTGGTCGAGCAATCCAGATTACCCGGAACGGCTTAGAAACCATAATTCAAGATGCTGCTGACAAGTACCACACATCACTGCTCGCAAATTTGCCAAATAATGTACCTGCGTGGGAATCTCATTTGGAGAATGACCATAGATCAACTAATAAAAGAAAAATATCCTGGAGCAACAGTGACAACACTCAGTGGTTGACCGTTGGTGCGTCATGGGAGATTGCTAAGATTTTCATGGCTCCCTTGGGACCGAGAAAGCTTAATGTAGTCAACGCCAAAACTACTGATATATCGGGACTGCTGAATGTATTAGAATGGTCTCCGAGAGGGACAAATGGTATGTTCAACACAGGTGTCGATCTCTCGCAAATAGCACATGCAAGAAGTGCTAGGAATCTTTGGGCGCATGCACGTTGCTGCATGTAAGTGATGCTGACAAAATCGACGCGTTTGCATCTTTAACCTCGCTTCTTCAAGACCCAGAACTAAACGGTGACAAAGATGTCCAAGACGCCATAAAAGAGCTTAGTAGTTTATCCCACACTGGTCTAGCGGTTATTGAAGAAAAAGAATTGGAAGTAATCGCACAGTTACAACGTGAACTTGGTCAGGATATCAACATTTTGAAAAGTGATATGACTTTTTGGAAGGATCAAGTGGAGGTGACCTTGGAGCAGATTGAAGTTCTAAGGAAGAGCTTGGGTGAATTTGTGACAAAGAACGAACTACACGACACTCTGGAAATTGTCAAGAAAGAAATGAAGGACTGGAAAGTGGCTACCAACAGCCGGCTAGAAAACATAGAAAAGGCTATGTCAGAGTCACAGCAATTATCTTGTGACGTGAAGCAAGAGCTAAAGTTCAACCCAGTCTCTGATCGGATGAAGGAAGAATTTGTCGGTCGAGAGTGGTTGTTCAGTGACATTGACAACTGGTTAGAAAAAGACCTCGGGCCTCGGGAGTCTCGTGCCTTCCTTATCTGGGGTGGTGCTGGAACAGGCAAAAGCTCGTTCGCCCAAGAATTTGTCCGTCGGCACGAGGGAGAAAAATTGGCTGGATACCATTACTGTCAAAAAGATAATCCTCGCACCTGCGATTTGAAATCGTTAGTCGATAGTCTCAGCAGTATGCTCTCGAAGACTCTTCCCGAATATGCTTCCTTGATTCAAAAAGTACAGACTGAACAATTTCGAGATGATCCTAACGCACTGTTCGATTCGTTAATTACCACGCCATTGCAGCAATTGAATGAAACTACCAAACATTTTCTTGTTATTGATGATTTGGATGAAGGAGGGTACAAGATTGCTTCTTGCTTTGCCAGATTATCAGGAACACTTCCTTCGTGGCTTCGCGTCATTTTGACCGCAAGACACAATGCTCCCGCTCTATCAGGCATTTATTTAAATTCCGTCCTTGCTAAACTAGACCAATTTGAGACTAGTCCCCAGTCCCTGTCTAGCAAAGATATTCGTGAATTTGTCTCCATGAAGTACAGAAAACTTCAAACTGAATATAACTGTATTCCTTCTTTTTTTGCTAATGACGAGCAAGTAGGCCAAGAGAAAATAGTTCAGGCTAGTCAGAATTGCTTTCTTTATGCTAAACTAGTGATGGAACAATTCTTTGATGGTCATAATGAAATTGGTTTACCTGCATCGTTATCTGAGATTTACTGTTTGGACTTCAGGCGTCACTTTTCAGATATAGAATTCTTTGAGAAAAAAGTTGCACCTGTGCTTCAGATTGTGCTTGCCATTCAATTTGCTAAGGCTTTTATAGATAAGGAAATGTATATATTTCTTTTAGAACCTTCCGAGTTTAAGCAGGCTTATGAGGAGAGCGAAGAAAGTGCTACAGAAGTTGTGAAGGGCGGTTTGTTGCCTGAAATTAAGATGCATGATCTCAATAAAGTCGTCAAACCTTTATCAGGTTACTTAGTAAAGGATGATTCTGGTAAATATTATTTCAGCCATAGTTCTGTAAGAGATTGGTTGCAAGACGAAGAGTCAGCTTTCTTTTGCGATGTACTCAACGGGCACTCCATTATGGCAAACTATAACTTGAAAACTCTTAAAGTTAAGTATCCTTCACCCGGCGATTTTTTTGAAAATGTATGTTTTCGTCCGAAACTGCCATATCCTACTGCTCTTCTA